GAGCAAAACATGATAGGAACGATGTGAAGAAACAGCTCGCTGAAACTAAACACGCTAAGCTCGGTGCTCAAGACCGACCAACCCGTGGCCTATAGGGTGTTTTAGCTTAGCAATGCCAGCAATGCTTAGTAAATGCTTAGCAAAGCTTAGTAAATGCTTAGCAAAGCTTAGCAATGCTTTAGTATAAATACTAGCATTTTAGTTATAGCTATGGTATTTGAAGTGTTTGTCGTGCAACTTTAACCTTCATTTCTCTGTGTTTCGCCTATATCGTATATTATATAGTTAAAACTAAAAACTTACTTATCACATTATAAGATGGAGTGTGAGAATTGCTAGAGCAACTGTTGAAAGCCACACTCACCACAGGTGAGTGATGACAAGCGAGAGAAACTGGTGGCGTTGGCTGTTGGCGGCAAAGCCAAACATTACTTTGGAGACTACACTCGATAAAATTCACAAAATGTCAGCTGAAGAAATCGATAAACTGTACGCTAGATACGAGACCCGTCTCGGAGCAGAGATGACAAAGACAATAGGATCGGCTATGACCCAGATATACACTGGTATTGCGTCATACTTCCTTCCCATTCCCCCGAAGCGCCGACTTTACCCGTGGGAAGACCTTGAGAAAGACCCTTTTATCAAACACGCCTTGAGCTCTATTAGCTGCGAGCTGTACCACAAATATGGTATGTTGTTAGCCCCGGTTACGGCGGCGATTATTACGGCAAAGCATTGTCAATTTGAGAGGAAAAATAATAATAATAGTATAGATGGATGCTGCACAGGAGGAGACACCACACCTGGGGGAAACCCCCAGGGGGGAGACCCCACCTTCAGAGGTGATGGGGGAGACCCCCACGTTGGGGAAACCCCAACTGGAGGCGACCCCTACAGTAACCAGGCAGAAGAATCCTAAGAGAGTAGCTGCCGGTAAAAAACGGTGGTGTAACCAGCATAGAATTATCACGGTGACTCACCCGTCTCGACTCTTGTTGGTTGTATGCGCAACTGCTGCCGTGGCTATCTCGTGGTTATATACACGACACAGGGATCCCAGGGAAGGAAACCCTTCCCCACAATTAGAGGTCAACCCGCATATCATGTTATAATTTAATATTTTTATATCATATACATAATGTCTGAGGGGAAAACGTTCGTCAACGACGCATACCACGCCACAGTGGTCGCCAGTCTAGCCGTAGGATACGCTCGGTTGACTAAAATGGTGCTTAAACAACCGACTATCAAGCTAGATTTCAACCTGCAGGATATGGGTATGCTCATAATGAACCTTGGTATGGCGATGGCTACAAAAGACATCCTAGTAAAACAAGGGATACTACCTGAAAATATTATGAAGTAAATATAGGATGGCTACGATTGCCATGATGGTTGGTGGGGCGTTAGTAAATGCCCTGGCATTTTCCGGGAGTAATTTCCTCTTCTCGAAACTACGAGAGTCACACGCGGCTGAAATACAGGAAGAGCGTAAAAGACACGATCTCGCTATTGAGAAATTACAGGCAGCACAGGCCGAGTATGCTAAAAAACGCCTCCAGAGGATCGATTACATTAACGAACAACTCAGGCGTGAAAACCATGCCGTTCAAACATTCCACGATGTCGACGACGCAGCGAGAGAATACTTCTTATTAACACGTAAACGGTTGCAACCGCTCAATAAACCCACACTCGCTCAGTACTACACACCATCCAAGGGGCAAATGGACCGTGAACTGGTATTCATGGCGGCGCTGGGTATTGCAGCGACCGCGCGTTGGTTGCTAAACAATTAGACTAAATACTCATATAAGTATGCTAAGCATGAGACCTGCTCCATACCGATGCGAATACATACTTATGGGGAAGAAAGAAGCCTGTGATAGGAGATGCAGGACTCAGGGGTACTGTTGTTTCCACATGGGAAGCCCTAACTACTCGTGTTCTGTGTGTGGTATAGGGTTAAAGGGCACTACTGTCTATGTAAAGCTCACGGGGCTTAACGTAGTCAGACATCATCTCATCTACGCAGAAATAAAAGGCCTACATAAAGAACGTAGTTTTAATTTCAAGATAGACCCCAATTAGAGATTATACACACCTACGTATAGCTATGTTTGTGGAAATTGAGCCCAGGGAAGGTTGCCTGAGAAGCTGGCAGATGGAGGTGGGGAAAAGTATAGATATCAGTGTCCTCAAACCCATGATTGTTAGTGAACTATATAAGGGGTGCTCGTTTACAATCATGGTAAAAGTAGGGTTTGATGTGCCATGGGCTGGGCACACTTGGAATTACTTTGATGGGGGGCGAGTAGATGTGCATGGGGAGATAGATATACTTGGTGACAACTCGTTGCAAGTAATACAAAACACCCTACTATACTGCGCATGTTCCGGGTGGGTCAAGAGATAATCGATAAGGTGTATCTAGATATTTTACCTTTACGGCGGTCCAATTAGAGATTAATCTTCTTAGGTGTGTACGCAACTATGACTACTGTTGGTGAACTTAAGCGGGTCGCCAGGCAAAGGGGTGTAATTGGGTATTCTCGAATGAGGAAGCCAGCCTTGCTGAGATTACTAGGTTAAGAAGCCCCTCTTACGGTAAAACAATTAAAAGCCCAAGCAAAACAGCTTGGGCTCAAGGGTTATTCAAACCTGGGGAGAGCCGGGTTAATCGCATTGTTATCACACGCCCCCATAGCGCAACCTCCCACTGTAAAACAACTGAAAGTTCAGGCACGCGATTTGGGGTTAGGGGGATATTCCCGTATGAGGAAACCACAGCTTGTAGAACTATTACGACAGAATAGAGCTATTGACCTATTAGTTCGTGATAAGACTGCGCTGTAGGTAATTATTTAAGAGGCTGGCGCATGCATGTTGATAGGAACATAGACATTATAGATATCAAGCCTCTGATAGCTGATAAAATAGACCAGGAACTAAACAGTCTAGGAAGTATCAAATTTCAGATCACAATGAAAATGTCGCTCGATAAGCAGTCAGGGAATGGGGTCACTGAGTACGTTCAGCCTTACTTCAGAGGTAAACAAGAGGTCGTGACCCATATAGAGACCATAGACGCATCAATCGATACCAGTTTTCAGCAGATACGAGAATACCTAGAACGCTACACACACTTGGGGTCTAGGTGGGCTGTAGATAAAATCGATAATGTCTATCTAGACATAGCTAACTAGCCGTTCAGAGGCGGGTCATACATAGACTTGCCCCCCTACTATAGGAAAAAACATGCCATGGTCAACGTCAGGAATAGAGGAGACGATTGCCTGAGGCTAGCTATCAGGTCAGCCTTGTTTCCAGCTGACACTAATTCGAACAGGCCTTCTAGTTATCCCCAAGACGATAATTCAACTGGGATGGTATAGATGAACCCACCCCCATATCCCAGATAACTAAAATAGAAAAACAGAATAATCTAGCTATAAATGTCTTTGGGCACGAAGGTAACACAACAATAGTGCACAGGGTCAGCCCATCGTTGGGGAAACCCCAACTGGGGAACCCCCCTCGTGTTATCAATATATTCATGATTCAGCGAGGTGACAAGTACCACTACACATGGATAAAACACTTAAGCAGGCTGTTGTATGACCAATCAGCACACAGAGAAAAGACCCACTTCTGCGAACGGTGCCTACATGGCTTCACACGAGCTGATTTATTAGAATCCCACCGGGAGGATTGTCAAGGTGTGGGGCAGACGGCTATACGAGTCGACATGCCTAAGGAAGGTGACAATATCCTAAAATTCGGTAACCACAAGAACCAAATGTCTGTGCCTTATATCATATACGCCGACTTTGAAGCCTTGGTTAAACCTGTTGAGGCTGCTGCCGGCGGGGCTGTTGGGGATACTCCCACAGGCGGGGTTGTTGGGGGTACCCCAACCACACAGAAAACACAGGAACATGAGGCCTGTGGGTTTGGATACGTGGTCGTCAGGTGTGATGGGGAAACGAAAGCTCCGGTAGTGTATAGGGGCCCTGACGCGGCTGAAAGGTTTCTAAAGTGTTTGCGGGAGGAAGAAAAAATTATTAGGAATGCACTGTATAGAGTCGCTCCCATGTGTATGAATCCAAGCCGACAGGCTAGCTCACTGCCTGTAGCACTAACTGCCACGTGACTCACCACTTAACGGTGATTCGGTGAGAGATCACTGCCACGTAACCGTGAGAGTATAGAGGCGCCGCCACAGCGCCGGTGTAACCTCAAGCTTCGAATCATCCCTAAGACAATAAACATTCCCGTGGTCTTTCACAACTTGAGAGGGTACGACTCTCACTTATCATGCAGGCCATCGCAAAATCGATGGCAATATAACGGTATCCCCAACAACATAGAGAGATACATCTCCTTCAGCTTAAACGGCCTTTAGGTTCATAGATTCAGTACAATTCTTATTGTCGTCACTCGACAGTCTGGTCAATAAGGCCAACGATGCCTTCCTATTACCGATCGATACACAGACGCCCGGAGATCAGACCCCTGCTTATGAGGAAGGGTGTGCACCCCTATGAGTACATGGATAGTTGGGGCCAAGTTCGCCGAGACCAGACTACCCCCCATCAGAGAATTTTACAGCAATCTGACCGACTCGGAAATATCCCCAAGACGATTACTCACACGCTATTAACGTATGGGATAAACTGGGTTGTAAGAACCTGTGACTATCACGACCTGTATTTTGAGGACAGATGTACTGCTGTTAGCCGACGTGTTTAAGACGTTTAGCGGACATGTTTCAAACAGTATAAACTCGACCCGCGATGGCATTACACCAACCCAGGTCTGTCGTGGGATGCCTTGCTTAAAAAGACCGGAGTTAAGTTGGAATTGCTCACCGATTACTTACGCACACTTATTCATTGAGAAAGGCTCATGAGTGGGATCTCGGCAACCAAACGATACGTAGTTAAAGCAAATAATCAATGCGTGAAGGGCTACTGAATTCGAGCAAGCCAACCAATCACATTCTCTACCTCGACGAAACAACCTGTAAACGGCTGGGCTATGAGCCAGTATCTACCGACAGGGGATTCGAATGGGTATCGTCCGAGGTCGATGTGATGAGCATCGCACCAGATTCGAACAAAGGTTATATCCTCGAGGTTGACTTGGAATACCCCAAGGCATTACACACATCACACAACAGTTACCCCCTAGCCCCCGAACGTATGAGGGTTAACCCAGACTGGATGTCTGAGTACCAACATAACTTTGTTAGGGTGGGCGGGTGGCAGACGTTGAAAAACTCGTGCCTAACTTAATGAATAAGACCAAGCACATAGTTCACTATCGCAACCTACAGCTGTACCTGTCGTTGGGTATGAGGCTGACCAAAATACACAGGGTGCTCATGTTCGACCAGAGCCCATGGATGGAACCCTACATCAGAATGAACACAGACCGAAAAGCTTGCCACCAGTGACTTTGAGAAAAACCTCTATAAGCTCGCGAACAACTTCGTGTTCGGTAAGACTATGGAGAACTTTAGGAAATGCGCGACCGTGGAAGCTGGTTCGGTCGAATGAGGAAGACAAGCTCAGGAGACTGATAGCCAGTCCGGCATTCAACCAGAAAGCAAAAATATTCACCGCTGACCTAGTTGCCCTACACATGAAGAAAAGCCACATAAAATTCAACCGCCTGTTTACGTGGGGATGAGCATCCTCGATTTATCCAAACACCTGATGTAACGACTTTTACTACAACGAAGCTTAAGAAACAGTACGATGACAGGTGTGAAGTTCTGTACACTGACACGGATTCCCTGCTGATGGAGATTCGAACCGAGGACGTGTACGAGGACATGAAAAAACACCTCGATTTGTATGACACCAGCGACTACCCCAAGGACCATACCATACACAGCACGGTAAATAAAAAGGTCCTAGGTAAGATGAAGGACGAGTGTGCTGGCACGCCCATAGCCGAGTACAAAAGTTTGAGACCTAAGATGTACTCCATCCTGAAGGCCGACAATAGTGAGATCCGGAAGGCTAAGGGTGTTAAGAAGTACGTGGTGAAACAACACATCAAACACGCCAGATTCAAGGAAGCCCTGTTCAAGACCCGTACCTTTAGACATAAAATGAACACACTTAGAAGTGATGGCCATAGGATATACGGACTGACAATAAACAAGACGTCCCTGTCGCCTATGGACACTAAACGTTGGATAGCTATTGATGGGATAAACACGTACGCGTACGGGCATGATAAAATGGAACCAAGAACATAGATGTATATATAAACAGGATACCCTGTCGGGGCGACATGTCACGGAACCAGAGAAAGTTTGAGGCTATTTACTATAGCCCACGTGGGTACTGGAAAGGAGCTAGCACTGTAGATAAGCTGGCTAAAATGGCGCGAGTACCCCCGGAGGAAGCCAAAGCGTGGCTTGAAAAACAAGCCCTGTGGCAGATCTATTTGCCGCCACCACACTACGTGCCTAGAAGGAAGTTTGGAATTAACATACCTAATAACGTTCACCAGGCAGACCTACTGTTCCTACCCCATGATAAGAGGTACAAGTATGCCTTAACCGTAGTGGACGTAGCCAGTCGCTACAAGGAAGCCGAGCCCTTGACCACGAAAGATTCTGCCCAGGTAGCCAGAGAGGATTTGAACGATATACAAACGCAGTCGGCTGACGTGGCCAACAGAGCTGCAAGTTTACCCAGGGCGGGAGTTCATGGGTGCCGTGTCACAACTGCTAGCCAAACCCCGATACAAAGGTCAGAGGGCACGGCCGGAGCCCATCGCAGCCAAGCCATAGTTGAGAGATTCAATAGGACTTTGGCTGAGCTATTCGGACATCAGTATGCTAGGAGTTGGCCGCCCCGGAAAACGATCGACTGAATGGGTATCACGGCTCCCCTAAGGTGGTGTCGGGCAATCAACCATGAAGTCACCCGCTCACTGATAAGAAACCGCAGACGCTTATCAAACTAAAATCAATAGTTGCAGAGTCGGCTGCTCCATTGCGTGGGAAGGAGAAACAGATACCAGATAGGGCCCTAGTTAGGTATCTATACCAGCCTGGGGAACACGAGGGTGATAGCCGTAGTTTGAGCCACCGATCCTATATGGTCAATCAAAACTTACAACATAGATAAAGTTGACATCAAAGCAGACGAGCCTACCTTGTACTACTTGAGGGATGGGCCAGGCAGAGGGTTTGTAAAGAAGTATTATTGATCGTACGCAGACGGCACAATGTTACCCCCAAGCAAAATACCAAGTAATCCCAATATCAACACGACATACTACATGATCAGTTCGCTATCCCAGGATAGACCCGTTAAACCGACATACTTCAGCCAAGTCCCCGGTAGCTCAGTCGGTTAAGCGGTGCGGTTGTGGGGTATACATGTGGAGTTCGTATCCCGCTGGCGTCTCAAACTTTTTTTATAGTAGGGGTAATAGTAGCAAGAGCTAAGGGTCCGACCAAAGCCTTATTTTTGAAATAAGGCTTTGCAGAGGCTTTTGTTGAAAGTGATCCAAAACCCCCATTCCCTATACTACTAGCTGTGGAAATCTAGACTTGCCACAATTTGTAGACATGCGTGAGCTTGGATATATTTGCTTCACGGTCTGTATGACAGACGACGCCCCGACATACGCTCAGTCACATGTGTCTCCAGGTCACGGAGAATCAGTGGTTAGAGGCCCGTATTGCAGTTCTCGTGCGTTTGCCAGGCGCGTAGCAAGCCATTTGTTTTCGTGTTAGCCCTATGGGCTGCAAAGCCTTATATTTAGGTGGTATTGAGGGCTTGCCCAACTTTCATTTTTTATGAGACCTGAAGAGTTATCGTTTGACATTTGATGATTTTAATTCTAGTCAAATCATATCACCTGAATATATATTCCTCATCTGCTAAGGACGAGTTTTAACGTGTTTTCTTAATTGTATTTGAACATACTGAAAGACGTATTCTACTTCTAAAAATCCCACTCAAAGAAAGTGTTCCTCCTCATTAAAATTTAGGGAGGGCGGGGTGGATACGGACGGATGTCTTACCACCATGGAAATTGAAATGTGATTTCCTCATATACAAATATGTTTGGACATCGTTTACACATGTATGCTGCACTGATACAATACCATATATCGAGTATTTGGTGTTTTTTTCTAAAATAAATAATAAGCAAATGAAAAATAAACAACTGCATTTCAGTGATGATTCACATATAATCATGACTGTAACAAAACATCCACATACATGTCGATGGAAACACAATCATCACTGAAAGTGATGATATGAAGAATAACCTGTTTACTGTACATAGTAATGCTTTAATCAAAGAATACTGGAGTCAGTACGATTCGTAGAGGGATTTCCACTTTTCAAATGGAAAGTGTTTGTACGTATTTTTGGCAAAAATTAGAAGAAAAATTATTTTTTAGGAAAGATCATGTGTAAGCTCGAGCTGTTTTTTATAATGGTAGCTACGCCCCTGTTTGCATATGTGTTGTTGACGCGGCATGGACGCCTTGTAACATCACTGTTTGATTATGATTCACAAAAATATGCCCATGATATGGTTGGAATCGTGCCACGGATTAGCACATATTTATCATGAAAACAGGTTTTTATGTAGGTGGCTTGAAACTCTTTTTACAACTCGTTTTTTTTTACAAAGGCCAAGAGGTTCGATCACAATACTTTTCGTTTTACAGCTTCTCTTTTCCTATATGCTCATGTCAAAACTGATTTAAATTCTAATCGCAGATAAAAGAATAACCCAATAAATAGTATGCCAAATTATCGTTACCATGACAACCCTGTGATATTTCACCTTATCTAAGAGAGTAATGCAGATGATACTGTCGGCCTTAAATTTTGATAAGTTGCTTCATCGCTATCAATGAACACTGGGTATTTCTACAATTATATGTGTGATCAAAGGCCATATGATAGATTATGTGGTCTCTGGTGTGATGGATGGAGAACTTGAGCTAGTTTTCCCGATAATCTGAACACATGTATGTACCGTGAAACCGGCAGATACCTTTAGAAGAAAGTGTTTGCCCTACCTGTAACAACGATGTCCCGTGGGATATAATGTGGGGATGAATGACATGTTCTTTTATCTTGGCCTGTTTATGATGATACGTACTGCGATCTTTCACAATAATCCCTCTGGCTATCAGATTGAATGTACGTTTTAAACATAACCGGTATTTCTATTATTGTATTTATAAAGTTCTTCGAACGTTCTCCATAAACGTCCGTCATATACATCGTGCACTACCCTTTTCTCTTTTGATCTTCTCAAACGACTGTTACAAGTTCGAAGAATCCTGGTCAAAATAGAAAAGTCTTAAGACTATTCCCCACAATTCTGTAACTTACACATTGTACCCTAAATGGGTAGAGCTTTCGTTCGGGGGAATATCAGAAGGACAACGATACAGTTATTTCCAATGTTGTAGAAAGATCTCCACTTACTTAGGAAAATACTGACATATTGTATTCATGTCGGAATGATATTTTCAGCCCCTGTCAGATCAGAACTTGAACATGCGATGTCTGCGTCTGTGTCAGACTAAAGGCCTATAAGATGTTTAGCAACACTGGGGCCATAGCCATAGATCTTCTCCAAACAAGGGAATATACATCTTGTGAAAATGACTTCTTCGACAGGGAAATTTACAGCAATGCGATATCACAATAACTTACGTGATATCTACTCGCAATCTGAGTTATGGATCGTCAATTTAAACAGGACAATATAGGCGAATTTCACAAAAGGCACGGAGATCCAACATGTCTGTGATATACTCAGAGAACGCACCCGCCTGTGCTATCCGGTCATAATCGCTACTCGATAAAAACAATTTTTCATTTCATGTCTCACAGAATATATAATTTGATATGGCATTGTTTCTTATTGTATACTTTTGCGTTAGTGAAACAAACTTTAAAGTTTATGTATAGCGTTATTACAGCAAAGGCTGAGCGAATGGAGAAATAACATTGTTCAGGCACTGTGAGACTATTAAGAAGGTCACATACAGTGCCATAAATATTCCAATTATGTACTGCCACAAAATATTTTACAGTAGATGCGCGAGCTGAACAGACTTAAGAAATTTACGAGTTGGTTCGTGTAGCGTATTTAGCTGTGCTCCAAGAGAGGCAAAGGGCTATTCTTTTGGGGCAGCTAGGGACACTTGCGAGGACAAAGGGGCAACGCATCGCCCTTTGTTCATCACTGAACCTTTCAATCCCTCGAAACATGCACCTCACAAGATTTGCCAACACCACAGACAAGGCGTAACTGATACTGGTAGCAAGAACGAGTGCAGCTTAATAAGGCGTGTTAGCTTGCGTAATACCGCTTTCTTTGTCAGGCTCTTTGGTGATAAGAATGTTGAGGTCATGTGAACGTTGATTTCAAACGTACTAAAATGTGTGAAAGTGAAATTACATGAGACAAGTAATTCACATGATGGAAACATGTGATCATCTTGCTTGAGTACAAGTAACATGATGGTGTATGAACCGTTCATATACATACCCCTGAAATCCGGTATGATACATAAATATCTAAGGTGTGTAAACATTTGCAAATTTGAAAATTTACATGTGTTTCCCCACCTAAGTAAATTCACATGTTTCCAACCCGATTAAACTTAGAACGAAATCGGAAATTTCAGCACCAATGAAATGCAAAGGAATGCATTGGAAATACTGTATGATCATGTATTTACTGGGGTATCTGTTTTGCAATTCATATTTGGAAATCCCTGACAATCCGGTCAGGGCATACATGAACGAGGTGCTTGTGCATACGAAAATGTACGATGGGCATATGTTTCAAAGGTATAGATTCATATGAAATATATGCCCGAAGTTAGGAAATATCTGAAAACATACGTAAATCCGGTCATGGCATGTATTTCCTAATGTATTTACGTTTATTTCAATTGTTTACTATCCGGTTTTTGGTGCTGTGGAATGATTTTACCTGAGACGGATCTGGCACACAGCTTTCCTTTCCATCGTCAAAGTTACAAGCACATAACGATACATCTAAACAGGCAGAATTGATTGCGTGTAAAGACAACCCAACTGGAAGCAAAACGTCATATTATGACGAAGGTTAGCTGCATTATTACCTATGCCATTGTTGTTGTTGTTAACACCCTTTGATGTATTCTCTCATGGTTTCTTATTTAATCCCTCTTACATGTATATAAGTCGGTTCTGTGCTGTATTACTTTACTCTTGCTGGACAACGGTCAAAGAAGCTATACCGAAACGTCGCCTCATAATGAATAAAGAAGCTGTTACCAATAAAGTATTGTACTTTTTCCTGTACTCTGTGTTGGAGTTGACTCGCGTTAATATAGGTTATCATGCGAGGGTGTTTTGGGGTGGTGAATATCCTGCATTAGGAATACACATTGTATTTTACCCTTGGTAAGCTAAATACATAGTGTCAGACACAAAGAAAAATAGCGATGCGTCCCACCTACCGTCATCAGACGACTGACCTTTTCCTTATGCTTTAGAGTTTGTGGCCTCTCTTGCAGATGTCTCGTCTTGTCTTCAAACACGTGTAACTTTTATTGTTTTGTCACACCACTTCAATTCGGGCAACTGTCCTGATATTATCGGCTGTTGTGTGACTGTGAGCATTATTGTTCATTTCGTTAAGGTTTTTCATCTTTTCAATATATTATACATGAATCTATCGTTTGTGATACTTAAATAAAACTGATTTAAAGCTATGGTAAAGTGTCTTTTGGTCGCTAGCTTATGTTCTTCACTTTTAGACGGAAATGGAAATGTGTGTAAACGATGCCGTCTCATTTGCTTACAAAGCTAACGCAACAGATTCGAAAAAAGACATTTTGTTCATTTCCTATGTGACCAATGTAGACGTAGACGTTAGTTTGTCAAAGTTGAAAAATCACATCCACTATCGATTATCGATGCTGGAAACTTACTGTCGTCTTCTAGATGACTTTCCTGTTATAAAGATGCAGCTTCATAAATAAGAAAAACGACGAAGCAAAAGGTCCATGCTTGCGGGAGTGAGTGAGTGAGTTTGGTTTTACGTCGCTTTTAGCAATATTCCAGCAATATCACGACGCAGGACACCAGAAATAGGCTTAACACATTGTACCCATGTGGGGAATCGAACCCGGGTTTAACCACTAGTCTACCCCACCGCCGCCATGCTTGCGGGAGTCAACAAACGATTTGTATTTCAACCATGAGGGGTATTTCCAAATAACGGCATTTGGTGGTCATTTACAGTTCCTTGTGTCTGCTCCGTTAGGTTGAAGCAATTAATTAACACGCGCCATTTTGTATGTGTATAACATTGTCTCAACGTTTCTGTCAGCAGTCATAATTATAAGAAATGAAACTATATGACAAAGGATGAGAATCTTTCTCAACAGTCAGATAATCCCCTTGAATGTAATGTTAGACTGCGATTTCAGTGATTTTCTCATTATGCTAAATTTGTTGTGCGACAAACGATCTTTCTTGCTGCGAAAACCTGCAAAATTGCTACCGCGGCGTTGGGCAATTTGCACTCACTCGCTTTGTCAGCTATGCTCTCAGACAGAAGAGCAGTCTCATGTCCCGCTCAGCCGCTTCGCCCAGTAAATCGTTTCACGGCAGCTGAGTCCTCCTTGGCAGTGTCAGACTGCTGGCTTGGAGCTTGTGATGAGTGCCTCTTTTTATCCCGCATGTTGTTTGTGCGTCTCCCCTATGGGATTCAGGCAAAGCATATCTCCATGGTGCTGCTTTCAAAGTTTGTGACAAATCTGTTTAAATTTTCATCATCTCGTAATGAAGTGTCTGGCTGATTGTATGCTGATCTGAAGACCCTGATACTTTTTTCCTCCACCAACTAGTAATTTGTCTGTCAAAGTTTGAAATAGCTGAACTAAACTCAAGTGCATAATGTACCTTCCTTTTTCCGAGACTGATTAACTTCCTTTATGTGTCAAGCCCTTGGCTAGGATAGTTCATAGTCCAAAGAGAACTAAGTCGTCCCTTGGGTTCACCAAATATTCCATTTGATGTCATTGATGTGATGAATAGTGTTTCGTAATAGGAACACCACACAAAATGACTTTATTACCCAAATTTACTAACGTCAGGAAATACTCGTTTCATCCGGCCGCCATATAAACAACGTTTGAAATCTACGTATCATCTGGCCGTCAGATGAACGAACATTCAACTCTGCATTTACATGTATTTCACAGGTGTGTAAATCTGGCCATTGTTTTCATGTGTTTCCTAACATGTGTAACATATGTAAATGCTGTGATTGTAGGACATGCATTTCAATACCTTTGAAATCTCGTATGACCAGGATTAGTTTTGTCATATATTTAGTACATGCGTAAATGGTTGGAAATGGGTAAATATAGTGTTACAAGATTACAACTACTTTAACATGTATTTCAATGGTCTGTAATGTAACCGTCACATAGGGTTTGTTAGCGCGTCCGACCACGGCATAATGTACTGAGATAATTAGAAACACATGGTGAAGTGATACCCATGACTGAGCACCACTAATAACATGCGTGTCTTTCTTGACATACACATGGTGTCTGTTTAAAAGGTTGAAATATCGGGTCTATGGGCCAGAGCGATATGTATGTTAGGGAGTGTGTATGTGAGGGAGTGAGAGGGTGTGGCATGGGATAGGCCTAGGGGTGGGGTGGTGGCGGTGGGTCGGTGTTGGGGTACTGATAAGTCTTTCTGACCAGTAGGTAATCTCGTTTATACTTTGTGAAATGGAAATAACATAACAGTTTAAGTAACTGACCTTAGGTACACTTCTTATATATGCTATACAAGGAGACACTGCTAATTACAATAAAACACAAACAGATGTGTTCACACAGACATGAACCGGTAGGTCCCTCATTTTAGTGCTCACTTGTATGAGTTATCCGACTGATCATAACTGAACAAATTTCATTATCTATACTTTCATAAAAGATTATTACAATGTATTAATGATTCCCGGTGTAAATTACTGTTGTAAATGTGTGAACATGCACTTGGTATGATCTCTTTTTGATTCGGAATACAGGTATTATCCCATACGGACGTTTTCTCAAATTTCAGTTACCCGACGGAATATACTGTAGACATATTTTGTTTCCATCTCTTGGGTAGACTATAGAAAATTGTAGTGATTGCAATTAGCTCATAACTAAGCAGTTTCGATAATTATTGAAAGCTTACTACCTGACAGCATTATGTTGCTCATTCGTTTTCTTTTTTGCTTTTGCTTTTTGCTGTCTAATTTGTTATACATTATATAATTATGTTAATCATTTTGGTATCTTAATATCATGGAATATAATGTGTACTTATTATTAAATCTATCAAAGTATCGAAACGCATTATCTGTATGCTTTACTGTTATTGGGTGAAACTGTTAGAAGTACCTGCGAACAGAATTTCCAGAAAACAGAAACTGAAAATTACTAGATAAATGGAAAAGTAAATTGGATAAAGATCGGAAACAATCATTATTATATTCCTCTTTTTAAATTATCAGTGTGCAGATCACGTCACTAACATAAAAACTGAAGGATATTATAGTGATAAAACTGGGTTCAATCTTGAATGTATAATAACTGTACCAATGTATATTCTTTAATAGTATCCAGGAATGATGGGGGTACGCTCGTGGTTAAAGCGTTCGCCTGTCAGGTCAAAAACCGGTGTTTGATTCCCGACATAGGCACAGTAAGACTGAAAATATGCTATTTTGATAAAAGGCAAAGATCTTAATTTCAACTGAAAAAAGAGACGGAAGTAATGTGGAAGATTCACAGACTAACAGCATCTATATTGGGGCTACAGGTGCAGGGAGCATCTTCAATTATAAGATCATATTCCACAAACATCAGATAAAGGTTTAAATGACAAGCATATATATTGGTATCTTGCCGAGCTCTGTCCTCTCTCAATGCAGTATAACCAGAGTGCTGTGGTCACTACCTCAGGTTGCCAAATTCAGCCATCCCCTTACTTTAGAGTATTTTCTTACAGACATATATATGGAAAATTAACTTTTACGGGTATGGAAAGAGTGGGGGGAAACACGTGCAAAGTATTAGTCAGCTGAGATTGTCCTTCAAAAACATCATATGTACAACAATCACTTATCATTATGTGTAACCAAAGCATTACAAAAAGGCCATATTTCTAGACAGCATAACATCACCTTTGGCCGGAGTTCCAAATAATTTGACACCGAAAGCCTGTCAGTTAACGCAAAGGAAATAACCCATGTGTTTTAAAATGATGCCTTAATCATAGTCACAATGAAGTGTAGGTTGCCATGCATTTTCTAGGCTGTCTCACAGTCCCTGAACCACATTATTTCCCCTACTGCCAAGCCCTCTCTGCAATGCTAAAGCCTTAATTGAAGCAAGTCTAGATCTCCTCAGGTCCAGGGTCTGTTAACATCTGCAAGAAACCTAACTCCTTTTGGGGGTCGGGTTACAAAGTAAACATATCTAACTGCCATGGCTAGCCGGACTTAATCTCGTGTCTCCCTGAGGCTCCATTTCAGTTTAAATAGGTTGTTTGTTACGATCAAAATTATATATACATGTATTCAGACACTAAGCATTAGTCTATGTATTTTCCAATATGATGGAAATACTAATATTTACCAAATAAAATTCTAAAGGAGCCTTTTTCCAAGTAGTGACTTAACGCCATACATAGCTAGACTTGCTTAGATGATAGACTTTATATAAGGCATCATCGATATTTCACAAACATGGTACAGGACCCTTAGCCTCATCAGCTTATTGCCTCACCACTTGCGAATTAAGCGTTGGCAGATGTAAATGTTACTGGAGATGTTGGTCCCGCTAGCTGTGGGTGTTTGGTATATGGCACTCCATAACCCGAACCCTGCAGTGAGTTTTTCTAGAGACGGAAGGGGAAAAACAAACAACAAACCATTGTTTGGGTCTTTTAATTATAAATATGATTCAAATAGCTTAACCTAGATTTCGATATCCTCCGAATGTACACTTGGTGGAAAATATTCATTTAACCCGAGACAAGGGTGAAAATTATATATAATTTAAGAAATTTAACAGCACTAGTATCCATTTTGTCTTTTGTCTTCAACCCGTCAGAACTAGATCAACAACTAGTCTCTGATATGAACATATTTCACAGAATAAAAGTTCATAATAAAAAAATATATAATATAATGAAAAGGTGCCCTGGGACTTTCTCCTGAAGCTGTGGAAATCTAGACTTGCCACAATTTGTAGACTTGCGTGAGCTTGGATATATTTGCTTCACGGTCTGTATGACAGACGACGCCCCAACATACGCTCAGTCACATGTGTCTCCAGGTCACGGAGAATCAGTGGTTAGAGGCCCGTATTGCAATTCTCGTGCGTTTGCCAGGCGCGTAGCAAGCCATTTGTTTTCGTGTAAGCCCTATGGGCTGCAAAGCCTTATATTTAGGTGGTATTGAGGGCTTGCCCAACTTTCATTTTTTATGAGACCTGAAGAGTTATCGTTTGACGTTTGATGATTTTAATAGCTTCAAAAAATTGTGGAAAACTTCCGCCTGTATCCCCTCTTAAATTTCATTCTAGTCAAATCATATCACCTGAATATATATTCCTCATCTGCTAAGGCCGAGTTTTAACGTGTTTTCTTAATTGTATTTGAACATACTGAAAGACGTATTCTACTTCTAAAAATCCCACTCAAAGAAAGAGTTCCTCCTCAGGGAGGGCGGGGTGGATACGGACGGATGTCTTACCACCATGGAAATTGAAATGTGATTTCCTCATATACAAATATGTTTGGACATCGTTTACACATGTCTGCTGCACTGATACAATACCATATATCGAGTATTTGGTGTTTTTTTCTAAAATAAATGATAAGCAAATGAAAAATAAACAACTGCATTTCAGTGATGATTCACATATAATCATGACTGTAACAAAACATCCTCTTACATGTCGATGGAAACACAATCATCACTGACAATCGTGGCATTTCAAGTACCGTTAGAACTGGTTTAAAAGTGTTTTTTCAATTCTTGAGGCCAATGCAAACACGTGCATATAAAGAAAACTTCGATGCGAAGATCACGTTGAACATTTGACAATCGTGGCATTTCAAGTTCCGTTAGAACTGTGGTTTAAAAGTGTTTTTTCAATTGTTGAGGCCAATGCAAACACGTGCATATGAAGAAAACTTCGATGCGAAGATCACGTGATCGACTGCACGTGCAAAACCTGATTTGGCACTAACGTCATTTGCACGACGAATGGATGGGTTTGAGTGGGTTTTGCTAACGTTTTTCTAGAGTCGAAAGATAGGGATCCCATTTCGGATACATAGATGTATCATCAGAGAAAAAGTATTCATTATTTTTCGAATTACATTTTGTGAAGTTTCTTTTTTTACTCAGTATATATATAAATGTAAATTTCGTACATGGTGTTATTGTTCATTGAGAAGAAATGAATGAACTTTGTGAATGCGTTAGTGAGTGAATTAATATTTGAAGTCACACTTTGTGCATGAACGGGAAAGGTAGTTACAGCATTTCATCAAATAGCAGCATTTCTGCAACAGTCAATCAGATGTAACCCAATCCTGTAACCTCTGTTGGGGGTTTCGAGAAAATATAGAACCCTCATCTCCCTTCCTGTGACAGTTTTAGTTATCCTATAGATATTCTCTAAATTTTGACTACAACACTGATATACGGTATAAACGGTGATCAAACACAAGAAAGCACAATAACCTCATATTCTTGCCTATCAGTTGCAATTCGTTGTAACGCAACATACATTTTCTCCAATATCGTGAATCAAGTCCTGCACAGGAGTCATTGAACCATTTACCTCCGTGATGAATGTCGGATAACTCAGATTTTTAGTGTCATGCACCCTTCGTTCAAACCCTTGAGAATAAACAGTTGTATCTACTTTTTGTATATGTTTAGATCATGGATTTCATGGTTTGTATGTGCATATTTAATTATTTCATACCGTCACTTAATACAGTCATACGTGGTTTCATGAAATCCCTGACTTTGTTTTGACAATATGGTCGATGATATTTTTGAGCATCGAATACTGTACATTCTGTCAATGAGCTCTTGTCAACATTTTATACCCGTGAACATCCGGTTCAGAATTGATCGTCAGTAACCCATACATTTCGCTAGAGGCGACAAGAGGCGGATCGGGTGGTCAGACTCGCTGACTTGGTTGACACATGCCATCGTATCCCAATTGTGTAGATCGATGCTCACGATGTTGATCACTGGATTGTCAGATCCAGATTCAATATTTACAGACATATAGTTGGACTATAGTTGAGGCATTGCAACAACAAATAGAAAAAAACAAAACAAACAAAATAATGCTAAATCCCTGAATGTAACCTATCTCGCCACATGTTATATTAACATGCGAGTTAAGTCTGGCACATCATGAATATTCTGCACCCCTTTTCCTGTTACAGAATACCGCTTCTGTCAACATTTCCATGTACAGAATACAAACTGTTCATGTCCGACAACACTTGGAGATATTACGGTGTAAGGCTGTAGTTACTTTTGTTTCAGGTAAACCTGTCATGCTCTTCCATACACTCCGCTCCTTGCAGTAGGACATCTGCACTCAACTGCGCTGATTGTCACTCAAGCAATACTGCTCACAGTTTACTTTGAATGCTAAATGTGTGATTTGATTTCCTTAAAGCAATGATATTTCGGACAACACGACCCGGAAACAATACTAGAAGCAAAAAAAAGAACGTATTCATTCACTCGCAGTTTACAACAAACACACATTATCGCATCCTTTAGGCTTAGTTAATCAGGGGACTGACTTACTGACTGAGTTTAGTTTTACGCCGCTTTTAGCAATATTCCAGCAATATCACGGCGGGGGGACACCAGAAATGGGCTTAACACATTGTGCCCATGTGGGGAATCGAAACCCGGGTCTTTGGCGTGACGAGCCAATGCTTTAAACACTAAGCTACCCCACCGCCCCGGTTAAACAGGGGAAGTGAAAGAGGTGTTTGTTTTTTCCTTGTTTGCAACATTAAATTTGCACCAAGTCAGGTAATCTGATCTTGCTTTCTTCATTTCATATGTATTATATGTTGGACTTATTTGCCATTTACTTATTCATTCGTCAGATCAGATGATTTACTAAACATGTCTATTGGTCTGTAATATTTGATTATTTCGATAATTAAACATCCGTATCGTTAACCGCATGAAATTGGCTTTGTGTGTTGATCAGTAATAATGCATGTACATTTTTAATTTCTTTTTGTGTTACTTTCTGTCTAAGGACAGGCAGAACCAACTTAAACACTATCCCTTAAGTGCTGATGTGCTGCGATAAATTACTTTCATTAAAATTCTGCTCGAATCATTGGACTTTTAATTCGAGGGTCTTTCCTCACAGTTGTGATATTCCCGAATATTTGCTGAATATTTGTTTAACCAGTGTGAGGAAAAAGCCCTAGTATTGTGATCTACCTTCAGTTGTTGGCGATCAATAGCCCATTTGTACACTGTACGGGGTTGTATATATTATTTTATGCATTTATTATGAATTTAGAACTAGTTTTAGTCACGATTTGGCTGAAATATTGCCGATGTTACTTTAAATGTTAACTCACTCACTCACGTGTGAGGAAAACGTTGCCCATTGTGCAAACAGAGCTATCATGTGTATGTCGTTGCTACACAACTTCCACACACCACGTCTCGATGACAGGGATATTTAACGAACGGGAAGTTTCGTATATAGAGGATACTAAACGACCTTCCGTGTAATACCATGTTTATTAAACGAGGTAATGATTTGGTTTCAAAAGAGCGAAAGCGAGTTTAATACATATTGATTTACACGGGAGGGAGATTAGTATTCTGTTTATTACTCGCCCACATTAATCAAGTGAAATTCCCGAAAAACGACCTAACCGCGTGGTAACATTTGCAGCGAGTCAAGCTATGTCAGGCGTATAAATAGATAGCTTTGGTGAAATTATGGGATTTCCATATGTATATAGTTCCAAAATAAAAAAAAGAACGTGAATTTGAATATGTGACATGTATTGTTCGAACCTGAGTTTGAGATGCCACATTCGCCTCTGAAGTCTGACGGCTTACCTCCGCGCCTAGTGTCATGTGGGAATTTTCAGCATAATCGCTTGACCTGCTCAACATTTTGCTGATAGCTTTGTGTTGATCATTGGGGATGTACGAATGGTTATTTATGGTTTACATGTTTTTATGCCCACTGATCTGCACTGGAGGCGCATTTGTGTCACTATGGTTACAGTTTCCGTTTGAACATATTTTGTGACACACAAGTAAGTGGGGATGGACAGGGTTACAGAAGGCCCAGCTACATGACATAATGACGTATGGCAGGGTTGTTATCTCGTGACCACATATTTCATGAAATCTGAACTGAAGCGAGGCAACAAGTTGCTGTATTGATAACAGTTAACTCAAACTGGATGATATCAGAGATACACAGGTAGTGTTCCCGAAGCGTATTTGAACAAAATGACAAAGAGAGATAGTTTGCTTTTCACATACTCTTTACAGACTAAAAAACATACGTTAAAAGTACATGAATAAAGATACACAGTGTACAAAACAAGGCCACGAAAAAGAAAACTACACGTTATACATACGATTTTGAATATGATGCTATTGATGTAGATACAATTTCATAAGCACGTTTACATTTACAAATTTATAAAGATGATTTAATCTATTTTGTGGCATAGAGAATTTACAATTACGTCACAGTGTTGTAAGTACATATTTCAGAATAACATCATATTGGTGTGACATATACTTTAATATGTGTATTTTTCTCTGTAATGAACTACTAGTAATGTAACGCACACATCACATTGACATCAGAATGTTACAGGAAATATTTTACTCTGACGCATAACACGTAATAGGCACATGACATTTTCGTAACACTGACTTTAGAGTGATATGTTGAATTCATAACACTGGAGGAAGAGCGTTGTGATATATGCTATATCATATTTTACTCTGACGTAATAGGCACATAACATGCTCTTAACACTGACTTTATAGTGATATGTTGTATACATTACACTGGAGGAAGAGCGTTGTGATATATGCTATATAATATTTTACTCTGACGTAATAGGCACATAACATGCTCTTAACACTGACTTTATAGTGATATGTTGTATACATTACACTGGAGGAAGAGCGTTGTGATATATGATTTATATCTGACATAGTATTGTTGATATTTCTTATAATATCACTATGCTTGAAAAGGATGACAGGGCAAGATCAGGCAGCTTACACGAATGTTGTGTTTCCCTGAGCGTATCACGATAGCTAAGGCGTTGTTTGTTTTCTGCGAGAGCAACATTGTCGGAATGAGTAAGTGAGTGAGATGACTTCCAACAGAGCGAACTGTTTACATTTGTCCCAGTTATCACATTGACCAATACCTTCACGGTATATGATTCATGTGCATTCACACAAAGTGCTTAATTGGATATGACATTATCGTAACCCAATACATAACATAACCCACTCACTCACTCACTAAGGTTAACTAAGGCCGAGAAGCTGCAATGGATACTCATGTTTGTTTGTTTGTTTGCTTGCTATATAGTTTTAAATAAAATGTGATGTACTAGGTATTGTACTGTCCTTTGGCTACAGGATTTTATAACCTTTAAATATATATCCTGCTATTTGTATTGCTGTATAAGGTTCTCTCGTCATGATATGGCTGAAATATTGCCGATGTGACGATAACTTTTAACTCACTCACTCACTTGGATAATTCAACTAATATTATCACAACAATTTATGTTTGTCAAAATATTTTGAGAAACCTAGAGTTATTTCCCATACCGCGGCGGAGGTAGAAACGATGAGCATGAACATAGTTGGCACTTATATGCATCTGAAGGGTAATGCATTCAGATCTTCGGCCTCAGGGGCAGTGAGTGAGTGAGTTAAGATTTAAATTTACATCGGCAGTATTTCAGTCATATCGTCACTAAAACTTATCTAAATTCATAATACATACATATAATATATAAAACCATGTCAACGAAGGACAGTAAAATTTCTAGATAATCACAGATTGAGTTAAAACTAGATAGCATATATCTTTAAAAATAGAAAACTATTTTTGGACAATACAATGTAAAATTTGGCTTTTGATCGCTACCAATTGACTGGGGAAAGCCTAGTGGTTATAGCCGTCTCTAGTCACGCCGAAGGCACGGGTTCGATTCCTCACAAGGGTAGAATGTGCGAATCCCATTTCTGGTGTCCACCGTCGGCCTTAGGAAATACGGCTACAAACGGGACGGACCATCCCATATTACCTGGCAAATGGCCGTGTGACTACCAAGGGACGTACATGCAGGGAAAACCGTAGTGTTCGTCACTAGTATGTACATAACATCTGCATCCAAATCAATAAATACATACATCAACATGTTACATGTTGTTGTGTTTGTTGCACGGACGGTTCGGTGAGCATGGCTCATAATGTGCATTAGGTTGCACAGCACCACGCCCCGCTAGTCGTGTTTCTAGGTCCAGCAGTGGCAGTATGGTCAGCTTCAGGGGGTACAATAACTATGTATGCCCCTTTTAGCAGACTGTACCTGTGAAGATCCGGGTCAGAATTGATCTTCAGTAGCCTGTGTTTGTCGTAAGAGGCGACTAACGGGATCGGGTGGTCAGGCTCGTTGACTTGGTTGACACATGTCATCGGTTCCCAATTGCGTAGATCGATGCTCATGCATCACTGAATTGTCTGGTCCAGACCGCCAGATCGCCGCCAAATATAGCTGGAATATTGCTGAGTGCGGCGGGAAACTAAACTCACTCACTCGCTTTTAGCAGGCTGATGCCGGTTAGATTGTTCAGTCAGGAAATGATTCGGCGTTATTTATTCTCATGACAGAAGGATATTCAATGCGTGTACACAGGGAAAACTAGCAACATTTTATTGTGTCAGTTTCTGTCGATGCAAATATCTCCGTACTTGTAGTTTACTGCTACATTATTTCGTCTGTTGTACGTCACTCTCTTGTACTCGGGGAGAAGAATCAGGTTCACTAAGGCTGAGAAGCAGCTACTGTTTGTCATTTTCGATAGCTGTGACGGAAGCGGTGTGTTTATTTGTCTGTTTGTTTCGGTGCTTTCACAACTGGTCTGTATAGAAAAACAGGAAGTATTTGAATGTATTCACTACAAGTTGCAGTTTCTGTTGATCTGAATGAGTAATACATATCACCGTTATCGCCGCTATATTTTGTTTGACCTTCACCTTACATGCTCTAACACGGAAGATGAACCTGAAACTGACACTCGCTGTCACAACATGTTGATAGCAACACATTTTGATCACAAAGTCAAACTGTAGTGAATGAGTGAGTGAGTGTTTAACGTCATTGTGGCGGTCTGTAAATAATCGAGTCTGGACCAGACGATCCAGTGTTCAACAGTATGAGCATCGAGCCTATCTACCCGATCACGTTAGTCGCCTCTTACGACAAGCATGGAGCGCTGCTAAAGACAAATTGAAAGTCAAACTGTAAATATAAATCTGTATTCTGTTTCACATGATTGTAATTACACTTGTAGTGTTTAAATATTTAAAACAATGTTTCTGAATACATAATTTGAGTTTGCTCCAATCCGACAATGCACTGGGACATGTTTTTTGTTTGCTTGTTGTTCAACGAAGAAATTACAGACGCGATTTGTGTACAAACAATATCATAGAGCTATTAAACTGCTAAAACAAATATCTGCACATGATATAGTCACAATTGTACAATCGACTCTGCTTTCGGCACAGATTTCGTACGAATGTGGTCGTTAGTCGCCTCTTACGACAAGCATGGGTTTCTGACCAGGGCGGCGGTGTAGCCTAGTGGTTAAAGCGTTGGCTCATCACGCCGAAGATCAGGGTTCTACTCCCCACATGGGTACAATGTGTGAAGCCCATTTCTGGTTTCCCCTGCCCTGATATTGCTGGAATATTGCTAAAAGCGGCGTAAAAGCATACTCACTCACTCTGAAGACCAGGTCTCTTCGGGTCTTACAACGAATTCGGATTTCGTGATATATTGTCAGCTGCTCTTACTGACGAGAACGCTACAGTCGATCTTTTGCTGACAGTTCAAATTTCGTGATATATTCTCATCTGTTCGTACTGGTTGAAGGCTCCATCACGACGTCCTTCAAGTTCTGTGTAACTGTTCTGTTGTGTGTCTTCCAGGTGAAGCTCATCTGTGCCAGAAGTGTTGTCACTGGTTGCACGCGGGGTCAGATAGCCCTCACCTGGTACAAAATGCATACATTTATACGGATATCTAAAATGCTTGCCACACTTTTAAACTTTTAACAGGTATTTTTTTTTTGCATTTTACATAAACTGACGGGCAAAAGTTAGTATAACGTTTTCAATTTGGTTTGGGGAAATTGAGCATGTCTAAATTCAATGAAACATCCAAAGCAAACATTGTCAAAGTCACGAGAATATTGCAGAATGGTAGTGATGTCAGTAGATGTAGTCACGTGACCCTAGCACGAGAAAAAGGTATAACATGTAATCTTTGAAAATCACGAACATGCACGTGCACCAGTCGGGTAGAAATGGGATGGATACACGCTGGCATATCACAGTAACTGAAAGCACATGCAAAATGCCGAAGCTGACACAAATTCAGCGAGAGCGAGCCATTGGAATGCGCGATATGGGAGCTACCCAAGCTCATCTTGCCAGAACGTTCGGCTGTAACCCAGCAACAATCTCCAGGCTATTCACACGTTACCGGAATACTGGTAGCACTCAAGACAGGCCGAGAAGTGGACGGCCACGGGTCACTACACCCATAGCAGACCGCTACACCCGGACTATCCATCTCCGGAACAGGTTCGTGACGGCAACGTCGACGGCGGCTGCGGCACTCGGGCATCGTATCAGTCGTCGCACAGTGACCCGAAGATTGAGATTAGCTGGTATAAGGGCTTACCGGCCTTTCCGCGGAATGGTCCTGACCCTCAGACATCGCCAAAACAGACAGCGGTGGGCAAGGCAAGTTTACAGGTGGCAAGTCCGAGATTGGCGACGTGTTCTCTTTTCCGATGAAAGCCGTTTCACCCTTTACAAGTGTGATGGCAAAGAACGGGTATATCGTCGACGAGGGGAACGTTTAGCAAGGCCATGCATCAGAGAAGTTCATCCATTCGGCGGGGGTGGAGTCATGGTTTGGGGCGGTATCTGTGGAGACCAGAAGACCCGTCTGGTTGTAGTGCAGGGCAATCTCAATGCACGGGGGTACATCGGACAGATCCTACAGCCAGTTGTGGTACCCTTCCTACAGAATCAACCCCGGGGTGTACTCCTACAACATGACAACGCGAGACCTCACACTGCCAGAGAGACTCGCTACTTTCTGCAACAGAACAATGTTGACGTCCTGCCCTGGCCAGCGTGCTCACCGGATATGAACCCGATCGAGCACCTCTGGGATCATCTGGACAGGAAGATCAGAGGTCGGCAACAAGTTCCACAGAACAGGCAACAGCTAGAGCAAGCACTCAGAGAGGAATGGAACCGCATTCCCAATGACGTCATTCGACGTTTGACGACGTCAATGAGGAGACGTGTGAGGGCATGCATTGACGCAGCAGGGGGTCACACACGATACTGATGTGCACAAGATCCTGTATTGAAGGAATGCCCTGCTACTGACTCATAAACTCAGATTGTGATAATCGATTTATGCAAAATTCCACCCTTGCGTGTTTACTTGACAGCGGCTCACAAACTCCTTGAATGAAATTGTTGATTTTTTGTGATTTACAGCTCAAGTGTTTTTTTATTATGATGCATTAAATATTTTTGGGAAATTTCGGTGTATGTCTTTGTTACAGGACGTTCAAAACGTCATATACTAACTTTTGCCCGTCAGTTTATATTGCTTTTTCATTTAAAATTACATAAATGAATTGTAATAAATAAATTTCTACGTGTATCTCACCTTCTGGTACTGGCACTGCGATGCCTTGTTGAACCTCGGAGGCCTTGAAACAAATACATCATTGTATAAATTGATTGGATGTGTACAATAGCAGAGTGAGTGAGTTAATATTTATAGTCACATCGTAAGGGATGGTATAAATCTAGCTGGTGTCCATGCAGGTAGCAAGTCCCCATGGTCCCTAGTATGGTGACCTACCTTCAGTGATCTCCAGTCCGTTTTGTATATTGTATTGTCCATAAACGTTTAATTTTACAGTTACATGCTAGTCTTAGTTTTCTATCTGTGATAATCTAGTTACTTTTACTGTCTTTCATTGACAGTTTGTTATTTTATAAATCAGTTGCGTTCAATATGAACTCTTTTTAAAGTCACGATATGGCTAAAATATTGCCGATGTGACTATCAATCGTAACTCTCTCACTATATTTGACGTTAATTAAACCATATCTGAACCTGTAAAACGATTGCTCGTTTTCTGGAAATAACAGCAATTCCCAGACAAATGCCAAACATCAATATGGTGATTCCGGATCCGATTCCAATTCCACTCTACAGAACATTTGCGTTCCTTGACCCTGCAGAAAATCAGATACGTCATATATACTTTACAATGTTCATTTTAAGAGAGGGTGGGTGAAAATTTAAACTATCGCCAGAGCCATATCGTGACTATGAAAGGTGTAAATTTAAACATGAAGGTGGATATTTTCAGTTGAGCCAACTCAGAGCAGTAATACCCCTTGATGTTTACTCCCAGTGAGGTCCCCTCAGCAGTGTCAGGGTCAGTGACGTGATGTGTCATGGAACATACGGGCAGTTCTGAAATATAACTATCTCTAAAACAGTCTGTATAATGTTGATACAGTAATCGTAATGACTTGTTCTGCAGTGTAAGAAATACTTTAAAAGTTCAAATAAAAAGTTAATGCGTGGAGGCAGATGACAGTAAAAGTGTGAGTGAGTTTCACGTTTACATCACATCGACCATATCGTGACAAAAAGGTTAAATATTGAAAATGAACGTATTTATGCTTTTCGAAATGTCATCGATGGACAGTATAACGGCTAGATTATTATAGATTAATTAAAAATAGTTTGAGATCAGTTTAAAATAATTGTTCAACAACACAATATTCAATCCAAGCCATAGATTAAAATAACACATAACCGACGATTAATGAAAATATGTAGTTCCAAATCTGAGTTTAATGTTTCGGTACTCCTAAGGGGAACAACAGTTTTACAATACTTTAACCCTCCTCGAGGATAGAACCACTGACAATCTCAGTCCTGAACTGACTTTACCAATTTAAAAAAACAACAATTTGTTGTACTTACTAGGAACTGTGAGGCAGCAATATAGTTTAGGCAGAGGTTTTATAGTAATAGTTCACCTATACCTTTTGATTACTACTAATGTTTCATGATATAAACTTACTGACAACTATGAGGTCACAGGATGATGTGTGACATTTCCAGTCCCCTGCATGTGCTGGTTGTACTGCAGGTATGGTGTGGAGGCTGTGTGTCTGGTTGATGGTAGACGCCATGTAGTCACCCACTGATGTACAGGATGAACTTGATACATTACAGATGGCTGCAATTGCAACCTGCGATGTTGCATATCCAAGTGACGTTACATCACTGGGTACGATGCAGATTATCAGGTTAGCAGGAGAACCAAGATACCCAACACTAGGACAGATCAGTTCAGACGCACCTGTTAAAGAGGATAGGAGTGTGTTATAAAGACGTGCGGGTGAACGCAAGGGATTATTATCACACTGGGTAACTGTATACACTGTCATGAGTCGTCCATTGTCACTCAACATATAACTTACCATTTGGTATATGGATCAGGAAGAACAAGAGCAGTGTCAAAGGTGGTATAAAGACGTGCGGGTGAACATAAGGAATTATTATCACACTGGATAACTGTATTCACTGTCATGAGTCGTCCATTGTCACTCAACATGCAACTTACCATTTGGTATATGGATCAGGAAGAACAAGAGCAGTGTCAAGCAGTGTATCGGAGAGTTTGGGGCCATCATCACCTTTCAAACAAAAATCATATGCTTTAGCTCACATTTTGCACTTCTATTCGTCAGGGTTGAAGTATTGTAAAATTATTGTCCTCCTGTGTAAACTTTCAAAGGGGGATTTACAGATTAAACTTTCTAATCAAATTTAGATTTTTAGATTGGAATTGCAAACTACAGGCGTCAAAAAGCATGCAAAAAGTTCATTGTGCACAAAGCGCACGTCAGTAAGTTAGTGAGTTTAGTTTTACGCCACTTTTAGCAATATTCCAGCAATATCACTAAGGCGGACACCAGGAATGGGCTTCACACATTGTACCCATGTGAGGAATCGAACCCGGGTCTTCGGCGTGACGAGGGAACGCTTTAACCACTAGGCTACCCCACCACCCTAAAATCACATGTGGCATCAGATGCTTTGTTTCATGCATTTTGTTAAAATCATTTTATGTTATGCACTGTTACACTGTTACATTTTTCCATTAGTATATTAAACAATTACTAGTATATCAACATATTGGCAGACAGACAGAGTATTATAGTCCCATCATAGTACATCCTAATAATTCAAAATAAAACATATATTAACTGGACAGATATGTTTAATTATACATCAGTTTTATTTGAACTATTATAACTTAGGTCATTATCAACAGGGCAAAGTCAATAAACCGTGGACTTCTGGCACATTGTTATTACACACGAGACAATTATGGACAGGAATACACAGCCAAGAGTGAAGGGGGTATCACGCATTTTAAATTAAACATGACTGCGTCCAAAACTTCCGGGCAGTTAGAGATCAGGGTCCCAATCCACAAAACGTCTGTAGCGTTACGACATTCGTAAGCTCATGATAAACTATAGAATTACGACAGATCGTAGCGTAACGAACGCTTTGTGGATCGGGCCCCAGCTCTGTACTTGATGACTGAGGCACCATGTGATGAGTGAGTGAGTGAGTTAATATTTAACGTCACATCGGCAATATCTCCAGCCATATCGTGACGAAAACAATTTATACAATATAAAGAGAAAACATGTTGAAGATTAAAACCTGTCGACGATGGACGAGTAAAAATACTAGAAGAATCACAGATATGAATATAAAACTAGCGAAGCAAAGCTAAAACATTTCAATTAAAGAGGACAATACAAGTATAAAACACGGGCTATAGATTGCCAACAACTGAAGGTAGATCACCATACTAGGAACCATGGGGACTTACATTACTTTGCTACCTGCATGGACCCTAGCTGGATTTACATCATCCCCTCAGCTACTGGCGATTGTAGGAAAATTTAGCCGGCAGTTAAAAGAACAAAGATACTACCTTTAAAATATGGTAGAATTTGCATTTTACTTTGAAAGTTTTGGGACTTACGTACCCTCTCAGGAGGACAATAATTTTACAGTACTTTACCCCTTTGAGGGTGCAGCCACTAACAATCTAAGTTACTAATCTAAATTACCAATCTTTAAAATATATCTATTTACAAAACACATTAATCAGAATTCATCAAACAAATCAATTTCTTTAAAAAACAATAATTAAATGATAATTAACATTTATAAAAGATCCTTTATTGTTTTACATTGAAATATGTATCCCTTATGATGGAGAAATCAACACAGTCAAGCAGGTCGTAACGTAATTAACGCTTTGTGGATCAGACTGAGGTCTGTGCTTGATGACTGAGCCACCATGCATCCGAAGGCCGGAATATATATATTTAACATAACAAGGAAGTGAATATGGAATTCAAATATTCATTTTCGATTTGGTGTTCAGCTTTGATTCAAATTCATTTTATTATTTTTCACACCGGAAATTATCGTTAGAGTCCAGCGTTATTGAAACGTCGACAGGGACGTCTTGTTAGTGAAACGTTAAAGCAGCCATATGAAAAATCTCTTCTTGAAAAGAAACAGCAGTCACGTTCCCCTGAATCACAATTATGGCGTCCCCTCCTCGAATCGAACCTCTTCCAGAACCTAAAAATGATGAAGGATCTCTTTACTACTGTTACTTTTCATTTAATTATATCTTTTAAAGAAATTGATTTAATTCATATATATTGAACAATATGATTTTGTAAACAGATGTATTGTACTGATTTGGTAGTTTAGGTTGTTAGTGGCTGTATCCTCAAAGGGGTTAAAAGTATCGTAAAATTGAAGTCCCAAAACATTTTAAATAAATTTAAACTTACCACCGTTTTTTAATCGTAGAATATGTGTTATTTTAATGAATGGCTAGATTTGTCTGAATTGCTGACAGCTAAAGGGATGGTATAAAGCCAGCTAGGGTACATGCAGGAAGCAAAAGACTGTAAGTCCCTCGTGGTCTCTAGTATGGTGACGTACCCTCAGTTGTTGGCATTCTAGAGCCCATATTTATATTGTAACGTTAAAAGTTAGAAATAGGGTTTTATCATGATTATATCTTAGTTTTAAGTGCCAATATATCTATGATGAACTAGTTCTTTTACTGTCCTTCGTAGACAGGTATGCATATAAGTTTTGTTTTTATTATTTCATGTACATATTTACAAATTTACAACTTTCATAGTCACGATATGGCTGAAATATTGCCGATATGACTTTTAATTTTAACTAACTCACTCAATCTTCCAGAACCCTGGCCTGAAGGAACGTTTCCCCGTCCTTTGCCCTGTTTTTACCATCCATTTTGAAAGGAATCGCCTATATGTTGTCGGTGCTGTCTAAGTACTGTAGGTTCTTCATTGGAAGTAGGATGTTTCTGACGTTCATCGTGACAGCGTAAACCTGAGATCAGCTTGATCCCAAACACCCTTCATTCTCTTCTGTCTTTCCACTGACGTTCCACTGACTGCAAAGCCCTTTTCATGGGGTTCATGCCTGCAGACATGTCCGACCTAACATATATAATCCTCATGAACAAATTCTAAATGTAATTTTGGTGCAGTTGGTGTTACGAGGTCATACAGTCTTTGTTTGAATGACGATTACATTTCTCACATTTCTGACATAGCAAATGAGTCTGTTCATCTCCTTTCTTGACATCATGTTCTTTCACGGTTTGTTAGATAATTCGGTATGTTGAGCACAATAGGGGTTTCTGGGTGGAACTTGGTCGTAGTTTGTGATCCAACTCTGGTTGTAAGGCTTAGTGTATTTCTGCCAAGACAGTTGAGATACTGTCCAAAGCGCCCTTGTCCATATTTGCATTCGTTATTGCTTTGTGAATGCAAATTGCGTCTATTTAAATCCTTATGTAATGCTTTTCAGAAGTACATTGCAGATAGGTGTGAACTGAATGTCAGTGATGGTTATTTTTTGTATCACTGGGAACCTGGAGCTCGTATTGAGTTTTCAGTATTGTGTTTTGACAGACAAATGACTCATCCTGATAGGGGTGGCGACGATCTAGGACTTGAGCGTCAACGTGAGAGGATACCAGAATACTAACGCCACTCTTCTTCGGATATAACGTTGAATTATGGAATATTTCTGTTCAATTTATGAACATATACTTACTAACTCACTGATTCTCTCTGGTGCGGTGGAGTAGTCTAGTGGTTAAGTCGTTCGCTCGTCACGTCGAAGAGCCGGGTTCGTTTCCGTCACATTGTTTTACAATGTGTGCTTGCCCCATTTCTGGTGCAGCCCCTCCGTGAAATCCAACTCAACACTCTAACTCATATAGATTATCTGAGTCACAGCTGTGTCATTTTGGGGCATGCAACAATGACAATACTTCCGCTACTCAAACATGTAAGAATAAAAGAGACGTTCCGACGCCAACAAAATGGGTGTATGAAAGGAAAACATGTTAAAGTCAGCAGCGCTTGAAATTATAAAGATCCTGTGTCATAGTTACTTTAAATCTCATTATAAAATGCAACATATTCAACCAAGATGATCACCGTGGAAAACCTACCTGAGACGTTATTCGTTATCCTCCTTCAGATACGTATTACTCAACAATCCGTCATATCTGTTGGCAGCCAACATCACCATATCTGAAAATCTAGGCCAGCTTAGGAACATGAACTATTTATTCTTTTTGATTACAGTAAACCCGCTACGGAATGTGAAACCCACACTGTCAGAGAAAGTTCGGTTTTAGTTTCCCCGTGCTACTTAAATATTTCCATCCTTGTTCAGGTCGAGTCAAATGTAAATTGGGGGGAGGGGAAGGTTAATTGTTAAGACGTTTGTTCGTAACGCCGAAGACCCGGTTCGATCCCCCAACATGCGTACACCGTGAAGCCCATTTCTGGTGTGCCCGACGTGATATTGTTGGAATATTGCGATACTCAGTCAAATGTTAATCAGTGGCTATGGTTTGTTTGAGGCAAGAGTGTATGCGGGATTATGATTATGCACCTAATTGATTCCTATGTTGATGTCAGAATTATTTCGATGTGAGTGCTATGTTTTACTTTTAGCAAGTTGAAATGTAATGCAAAGGCTAACAGCTACATTTTACCATATAATTGTATATAAAATGTATCATATATAATAAATGTATCATTTCATGTATGTACGCATGCTTGTCGTAAGAGGCGACTAACAGGATCGGGTGTCGGGCTCGCTGACTTGGTTGAAACATGTCATCGGTTCCCAATTGCGCAGATCGATGCTCATGCTGTTGATCACTGGACTGTCTGGTCCAGACTCCATTATTCACAGGCCGCCGCCATATAGCTGGAATATTGCTGAGTGCGGCGTCAAACTAAACTCACTCACTCACACATGTTTGTACTGTATAACCCATCACTATAACACATATGCAATGACATATAAATGCATAATCGCAATTATTGACTGTAAAGCCCATCACTATGATACATGTACAATGATATATACATGTATAATTACATGTATGTACTGCGTAATCCATCCTTAGGATACAAGTACTATGGCGTATGAATGGTTAATTCATATAAAGATGACGTTATGACAAGAGTACAGGACTGAACGTTCCTGGCCATGATAAATTTTTGTCACCCACAAACTTTGGCCAATTAGCCCATTTCTAGCTGTAGTTCAGTACAAATTCAAATTCATAATCTACTCAAATATGATAGGGATACGGATACGATAACCCCATTTGCTCGACCATTAACCCCGAACAGTCATAAAATGACACATTGGATTTACAGGAATACGTTTTATAGCAAAAGGAATTCGAGCGCTTAAAATATTCAGTGGAAAGAAATACTACAGGATTCACTCGGAAAACTGCGCTGCACATGAGGTTACAGATGATCACGAACAGAACTTCCCTGAAGGAGAGACCCGTGAAGATCCGGGTTAGAATTGATCTTTAGTAACCCATGCTTGTGGTAAGAGGCGACTAGCGGGATCGGGTGGTCAGGCTTGCTGACGTCATTGACACATGTCATCGGTTCCCAATTGCGAAGATCGATGCTCATTCTGTTTATCACTGGATTGCCCGAACCAGACTCGATTATTTACAGACCGTCGCCATATAGCTTTTTTTATTGCTCAGTGCAGCGTAAAACTAAATTCACTCACCTGAAGGAGATGATTACATGATACTAAACTCGTCTAATAAGAAACGAAATCGATAGAATTTTCAAACAATATATTTCAAATATTGTTTCAGACAAAGTGTTATAATTAGTTTATCGTGTTGGAGATGGCCGCTCTAATATTGATTCTTACAAATATATTTTCCAGGCTGAGAAATGTTCTCATGAAACGTGTTGATAAGATACTACTGTTGTTCTAAGTTACTTATTCGAACGGTTACTGGTGTGAGATTACTATTAGCTACATGTGACAATTGGTATCATATTTTTCAGATGCTCTTGGTTTCTACTTACAGGAACAAAATCATGATCGATTTTCGCCATTGCTCGGTTTCACAATGCATGGAAATCTTGCATCAAAATATTGATTAGTTATATCTTACTAAATTAAAAATGCATGTTTATGTTTATACACTGATTTATTGAATTTTAGCATTCACTCACTCATTCGACCAGTATAGCGCATGTTAGCATACGTGTTCAAATGTATTCTATGTGTACGAAAGTATTACCTTTTCGACATTTTTCAAAACAAATGGGTGCATGAAGTTGAATACAAAATAAAAGTGTCAACAGGAATGTGCGATAGGGCAAATTACCCAAACTTTTGGTACGTCCTCATTACAATGATTTTTCAGTGGGTGTGACAGATGATACGTAAAGCAGGCAGAACAAGAGTTCCTCGTCTACTGGACAGTTGTGACTAATGACGTTTGAATATTAATTCCGCAGATTAATGCGTATCATGCGGTTATTTCACTTTGCATTACCATACATTGTGCCTGTCTTTCTCAAACAAGCCTGCACAACTGTTCATGCCCATGAAATGCACAATGTCATTTAGAAAGTGGTCAAATGTAACTTTGTGTGCTGACTTTGTATGCTGGCGATTAGGTGCCTGACTCTGAGGGTGTGAGTTCGAATCCCGGATGGGGCTCAACTCAAAAGAGTACTAGAATTTGTACTTTACTAAGAAAGTGTAATCCCAAAAATAACATTTGTTATATTCATGCCAATATGACTAGAACCGACGTTCTACTATCCTGGACTAACAACAAAAACATAATGTTTTAAAACCGAACAATTCTTTCCTTTATTGGATCAATTAGTCGTTCACTTTTTGGCACTGCTACAGTCAAAGATGTAGCAAGACTAGCGAAGTAAGTCGCACAATTGTTGTTGTATGTAACTAATTCTTCTCGTGCTTTTCAAGTACAACTTCAGATATCATCATGCATATCTAAACCAAATGTGCATTTCATCCGCTTTTAATATATTTGAAACGAATCATAGAGACATTAAACATCTATAATATATTATGCTGTTCAGTAGTAATTCATTTCTTGTAAAATTTGTTAGCTTACATTACATTCCTAACAACTATTCGACAACAAATTGATGAAATGTATTTGGGAATTGAACAGTTAGTTAATCACTATTTGAGTCAATCTTTGCTCCCAGTTAAGAAAGTAAAGAAAGCTTTGAATATGTTTTAAAACATATCTCAATGTTGAATATCCTTTGTTTCACATTGTTCATAAGGATCCAAGTTACACTCTCCTCGCACTCAGAAGTTTATTAATATTTGGCTCATTAATCTTCCCCAACTCACTCTACTCTCCTCGATGTATACCGAATTATTGAATACGGTTCACCAATAAATCAATCAAGTGCGCATGTTACTCAAGTTATGAGTTTACCAGGTTATTTGACTGTTTCAGAAGCGACAAAAATCAGTATTTTGAAATATCTACTATGTCGTGTGACATCTCAGTGTCGAGAAATCGTCAGCAATATCCTAACTTTCTTAAAAAACGAAGCTACAGAAATAGAAATAGAAACAGTGATAATTGAACTTGGTGTATAGAGTGATAGCGAGAGTAATCGGATTGTGAAAGTAACTGACGTCTGTACGTTGTAAAGTTAGCGAAAAGATAGCACATGACCGTATAAGCAATTCAATTAAAACATGAAATGATTGTTTTTTTCAGAAGTGTTGTTTTTCGGAACAAGTTCTGTGACGAATCTATGTATGCATGCTTCGCATGAACGCCACGTTAATGACATTCTCTGCTCCCCTATTTAATGAAGTTAACTCGACCTCCCGTTTGTCCCATTTGACCCTCCGGGTCATGCATATGTATCATATGCATATGTATCATAATGGGTGTATCGACAGTCGAGATGTACATAAAGATATAAGTCAAACTCTAGTATAATCGCCAGCTGCTGAAGGGATGGTGTAAATCCAGCTAGAATCCATGCAGGTAGTAAAGGCACTGTAAGTCCCCATGGTCCCTGGTATGGTGATCTACCTTCACTTCCTGGCGATCTATAGCCCATCATTATAACAGGAGATACTTCGCCCACAGGCAGAAATAATAAAGACGTATATGGGTTAAATGGCCTAGAGTGTGGGGGTGCTCGAGGGCTGCTGCATTAGTAGTAATGAAAATGCACCTGCAGCTACCGCTGCCCTAGTAACTACCATTACTAGGAAACCCTTGCCATGGCGCTACCGCTGCCAGGCACCGAATGTAAAAGAATATTGAGCCAGGGCAACTACCGTTGCCATGCCAACTGTTTGCTGTAAAGCAAACCCTAGTCACCTGCTGTAAAGCAGAGTGGATATACCTGATCCTTGCTGTAAAGCAGAAGACCCTAACAGTGCAAAATTTAGACGTGCAGCCAAATATAACAGCAGCCCACGAGCACCCCGTTACCCTAGACGGTTTTATTCCAGTAGGATTAATATACATACTTACCAAGAATGGCGGCACTGATATGTACAGCTGGAGAGAAAAACAAAGAGAAAGTGAAATGTTGAAGAGAAGCGGGTGGGTGGGCGGGTGAAGGATGACAGCGTCGACCGAACACTATGATGGCGGCGATACCGGCGGAAAGCTAACGGCATATGACGTCATATGACGTTGTACGCAAAATTGATGACGTTGGGGCATGACGTAGCATGTCTGCGTACGCGGAAGAGGAAACGGAGTTATATGATATAATTAAAGCTTCGCATCCCTGCCATAAAGGCATTTAGTTTTAGTTCTAAATGCTATTATATTGTTTTGTCACGTAACAGTTTTACTATTGTATATGCTCCCTAACTAGTTTAAATAAACTGTGATGTGAGTGAGTGAGTTAAAATTTAAAGTCACATCGGCAATATTTCAGCCAAAGTGTGACTGAAACTAGTTCTAAATTCATAATACATATATATATTATATACAACCCTGTCAACGAAGGACAGTAAAATTACTAGGTTATCACAAATGAGGTAAAACTAGCTAGCATATATCTTCAAAAGCAGAACATTATTTTTTGAACAATACAGTGTAAAAATGGGCTATAGATCACCAGCAACTGAAAGTAATTCACAATACTAGGGACCATGGGGACTTACAGTGCCTTTGCTACCTACATGGACCCTAGTTGGATTTACACCATCCCTTCAGCCGCTGGCAATAGTAGGAAAAGTTTAGCCGAATGTTAAAAGAACAAAAATAGTACGTTTAAAAATCCGGTAAACTGACATTTAACTTTGAAGTTTTGGGACTTGCGTACCCTCTCAGAAAGACAATAAGTTTACGATATGTTAACCCCCATTCAGGGTACAGCCACTAACAATCGCATTTGCTAATTCATACTACCATGTTTAAAAAACCATTTATCTATTTACCAAACATATTATTCAAAATTTATCTAATAGTTCCATATCCTGTAAACATTCAATTATTAGATGGCAATTAACATTATAAAAAAAGATCCTTCAATGTTTTAACATTGAAATATGCATGCCTTGTGATGGAAAAATCAATACAGTCAAGCAGGACATGCTTCAGAAATCTGAACTGGTGATTGATTACAGATGAACCTCAGCAACATCGGCCTGCAAGAGTGAGTCAGTGAGTGAGTTAATATTTATCGTCACATTGGCAATATTTCAGACATCTCGTGACGAGAACAATTAATTATCAGTAAATATCAATAATATTAAAAGTAATAAAACTGTTTACGATGAACAGTAAAACTACTAGTGTATCACAGATAGATATATAAAACTAGCATGTAACTAAAAACTTGTACCATTATGCAAGACAATACAATATAAAAACGGGCTATAAATCACCAGCAACTGAAGGTCGATAACCATACTAGGGACCATTGGGACCGACAGCGCCTTTGCTACCTACATGGACCCTAGTTGGATTTACTCCATCCTTTCAGCCGCTGGCGATTGTAGGAAAAGTTTAGCCGAATTTTAAAAGAACTGTTTAAAAACCGGTTAGATTAAATTTAACTTTGAAAGTTTTGGGACTTACGTACCCTCTCTGGAGGACAATACTTTTTACGATACTTTAACAGCCACTAACAATCGCAGTTGCTAATTCATACTACCATGTTTAAAATACCATTTATCTATTTACAAACATATTATTCAAAAATGTATCTAATAGTTCCATATCCTTTAAACATTCAGTTATTGGATGGCAATTTACATTATAAGAAAAGATCCTTCAATGTTTTAACATTGAAATATGCTTATCTTGTGATGGAAAAATCAATACAGTCAAGCAGTGTTGAATGTGTCGTTGAACTGGTGACGGCAGCTGCTGTTCACTACACGACTTTATAGACGGAAATCCTCAATGGACCACCACACACGGTACTTTTGTCACCAGCACATGGCATAGAGCATTCAGTTTCTGGTTTCAGTCTGTTTCCAAGCCTCAAGACATCACCACAGTAGCATTCTGTTCCATACTGCAATAAATAACATATGTAATGAAAGCAAAACTAAGTCCTTGAAACCCAAATGTACGTCTGATCCAGTAAACCTGATTTGGTGTCAGAGTCTGATAACCTGATATGTATATATGTCTGAGCCTGTAAACTCGATTTGTATGTCTGAACATGTCAATCCGATTTATATGTCTAAACCTGTAACCCTGATGTATACTTCTAAACGTGTAACCTGGATGTGTTCTTCTGAGCCTGTAACCCTGATGTTTATGTCTGAACCCGTAAATCTGTTTCACTTGATGAGTACCTCGGTGAAATTGCATTTAGTTCTGACGCACTGGTCTCGTCTCTTGGTGCGATGCACTGACCTGATGTTTAACTCTGATGGACTTGTAGCATATTTAGGTCTGCTGTGCTGCTCTCGTGTTTAGGCATAACGTCGTGATGTCATTTTAGGTTCTTGCCGAAAAGTGACATATCCTTCTGATAGCATTCTAAATGTACATGACAAACATTACTTCATGTTTATCAATGTAAATGTGTGGATATGTTGTAGTTTCTCGTAAATAATCAGTTCACATAGGCAATTTAAAGGTTTAACTATGTCATAGATAGATATAATATCCCAATAAACTCAGCTTCAAACTAAACCTAAACGTACTATCACACGTATGTCTCTTAATCGTCCTGGCTTCCTTCTTTCACGGATGCAAATGTATGCGACATTACATGAAAAAAAAAATATCTCAGGACACCCACCTGTCAGGAAACAGCTGGTCTTATTAAAAGTCGTTCGAAAAATTACAGTGATGTTTCTTTCTGTTGCATTTGATGAATGGAACATGCATCGTTGACTATTCCAACATTTAGTCTATCAAATGACTCCTATGTTTACCTCAGTTCCAAAGTAGGGATGATGGTTTCTTTGACAATGCAGCCTGCAGGTTTCAGTTGTCATGCGTGTTTTGTCAATCATGAAGCTATGTGGAAGAACACGGTTTTCACGGGTATCGACGTAACACCCAAGGTATCCTTGCCGAACTGTAAAAAGAAAATCAACTGGTTACTTAGAAAGAGTGAGAGAGTGAGTCTACGCCACTTTTAACAGCATTCCAGCATTATCACCGCGGGGAACACCAGAAATGGGCTTCAAATTTCAAGTCGTCCTCACATAGTCTATGAGATGCGTCGCCTTCTCACCATCTGGAGTATTGGCCATTGTGTTCAACCACACATCTTCTACACTATCCTCTGGAACTAGAGGGATAGCAGCTGCACATCTCACAGGCTTCTTAACTTCTTCATCGTTCTTGTATTCAGTCGCCAGTCCAATCTTCTGAACCCTCCACCAAACGCATCTGGTATAATGAAAAAAGCAGCCACGAAGAAGTGCTTCAGGAAACACAGATCTTGCAGCCTTGTGGGCAGCACGCTCGAAGTCCATCTGCCCAAGTGCCAAGAGATGTCCAAGATTCAGTGAAGTATATCTCAGGTAAGTGAAGAACCTTGTGTAGGTGTCTTCTGTCTTCGGTTAGGAGTAAGTGCGTAGACAAGGGGTAGCATGTGATCTTGGAAATCTGCATGATTTAAATATATCTCACCAAATAACCTTGGTGCTAAAGAAACGCCCCATCTGCAAATATGGCATCTGCATAGAAAAAATCTTGTTGGTTGTAAAGATCAGCATGGCACCTGGACCATCTGGGGTATGCAGGAACCTGTCTCCAGTTTCTATCCTCGTCGACTGATCCACTAGATCTTCTAGGTTGATATCAGTCAGCGTCTGTGGGAGTTAGGGAACACTCTTGTGTCGCATCTGGGACGATGTCGGGGTTGCGTCTAAAGCTGCATAATTCTTCTTGATAAATCTGCGGAATCGAGGTTGTTGTGTCTGTTCTAGAACGGTGGTGAAGTTTGGATTTGATTACGTCAACTTGCATGAAAAAGTCGGGAGTTGTGCATGTGGCCAACCATGTTGAGAATATGGTCAACTGTCTCCAGGTATGGAGGACATGCTGGTGTAACACACTTCCAGTCTTCTCAGCTCTCTTCTTGTTCACTCGGTGAAATTTGAAGATATTTTACTCCAATTTCTATGTTTTAAGAATCAAGACCAAGAAGGCAAATGTTACTTTTAAAATCCTCCTCTCTCAACTGCATGTGTAAATTATAAGAAAACAAAAATTATACAATATGGGGATCTAAGTTTAGCTACATATGTTATATTGGGGATAAGATTTAATGTCATTGGGTAATCTAACTTTAGCTGTTGGCGATCTAGAACCCCATTTTATACGGTATCGTCTTTAACTATGTTAGATTTAATTACTAGTTTTAAATATATATATGATAATCTAATTGTTTTACTGTCCTTCTTTGTCAGGTGTTTATAAATTACTTTTAATTATTTTAAAACTATAAATTGATTGAATTAGTCACGATATGGCTGAAATATTGTGGATGCGACTTAAAATGTTAACTCACTTACTCACTCAGATACAGGTATATGATTCATTGTGAGAAACAAGTTGGCATTAGTGCAAGTACCAACTATTAGCCTGCTTATTAAAACATCACCCTCCCCTGGATTACAAAGTGGTTTCAGATAGATGTGCAACCATCCTTCAAAACCCTTTGAAATCATTTGTTATAAATAAATAATAACAACTTAACAGCCTATTTGATCATCAACCGAAAGCACTATAGAAAATAGTTCCAAGGGAACGCCATTATTCACCACAGAAATGTACACCACAAGTGCAGCCAGTCGGAAAACGGAGTTACTAAGTGGAATCTAAATAATAAAATGTTCAGGTTTATGGGAACGTAAACAAAACACAAACTGCTTGTACACCTTGAAATCAACAACAATATATTTGTAGCTGACACATTATACTGTAAACAATTAATGTGGTTACCACAATAAGTCGTCGTGAAAAGAAGTTGATTTCTGCATTGTTAGGATCTTGAATGGCCAATGTGACATCGTCGAAAAATAACCTTTTCAAGTCTGGACTTACAACCCAAGTAGGTGAAATCAGTTGTTGACTTTATTGGAAGTAATTTGTTTATACCTACCTGGGTGTCACACTTCTATGGTATTAGATCTGGAATGTAACTTCTACTCACAGGCTTAAAGTCACAGTAAGGTGCAGTCAGCTGAATTGGCCGTTGTGTTACCAGAAATTCCAACATGGCCAGGTCGGATTGGGCAGTAGCAAGATCATCATATAATTCAATCATTTCGATTAAATTTAGGAGAATGACAAATACTTGGAATGAAGACGGCGACATTAATAGACATGTTAGGACTCATGACTGAACATGTTCTGCCACGATAAACTATACGTAAAACATAATATGTCACTCATATTGATGCATTGCCTTTTGCCAGCCAGCTATGGGAAATATACTTAGTTCCAAAAGAAACGCGACATTCATGGTGTTTTTAAATGTCCATAATTGTCCTATCTACTTTACAGTCATAACGAATGTGCATGTTAAATGTTCTTTGAAACCAATTTTCGAAATTAGCCTTCTGAAACAAGACTTTTAACGTCAGATTAGCAGTAAGAACCGAATCTAATATTGAACATGTTTATGGGGAAAAACAACAGAAACGCATCACATAAATCGCATGCCCTGATGCGTTGTGCAGATGAATTTAATGAAGCGACACTTTCTTCAAAGAAAAACGAGAGAAAGAACCCTTTAAAGATGCAACGGCAGTTTCCGTTGTGTTCTTTTTCTGAATGGTTCAGATAACAATATGCCACGTCTGAGCAATGAAGCACGTCTACGTGCTTTTAGGGTGATTGATGCTGGTCCCAGCGTTGTCAACGTTGCACAACATATGGGAGTAGATCGGACGACAATTTACCGACTGATTGAATGCCAAAATCAAACGAATTCGGTGAGAGATCGACCTAGAGATGGCAGGCCACGAGTGACGTCTCACAGGCATGACCGCTACATCGTAACGTCACATCTTCACAACCGTTTTCTTCCAGCTACTGTTACAGCCCGTCAGACAATTGGGATTCACAACAGACCGATTTCAGGAAACACTGTGCGTCGACGTTTGAGGGCACACTGGCTACACTGTAGGAGACCCTATGTTGGACCGATTTTGACGCCACAGCACCGTCGTCTGCGCTTAGCATGGGCTCGGCAACATCAGCATTGGAGATATGCACAGTGGCAGAACGTTGTTTTCTCAGACGGGAGTCGTTTTGTGTCCACCTTGCAGATGGGAGAGTGAGAGTATGGCGTAGATGAAATGAACGGAAGTGACCGCTGGGGTAGGCCATCCCCTTATGATGCGGGTGGAATAAGCTGGGAAGGCATGTACCACCTGTAATCTTCCAAAACAATAGTCAAGGTCGTGGAAGGGATGCAACTGCACCACGCTACATTGACAAAATCTTAAGGCTTGTTGTCCCGTTCTTTAGACCCAGACCACAGTTGCTGTTCCAACACGATAATGCCCCCGCCCACACCACCATTATCACAGTTTATAGCTAAAATACATGGACTTATCATGAAACAGCCCTCCCATTATAAGAAATTTGCGGGCCGCTGCAAATGATATTGGACCGCTCAACCTTTAACGACGGGCCACTATCAGTTCTGTTGTCAAGTGACGTCATAGTGGGTGCGTGGGCTTACGGTGAAATTTGCGGGCCTGCAAATGATATTGGACCGCACAACCTTTAACGACGGGCCACTATCAGTTCTGTTGTCAAGTGACGTCATAGTGGGTGCGTGGGCTTACGGTTGATTCGACATTGGCTTTGGCCTGGCAGATATTCTGGGTCAAACAAGTCAAAGCAACCCGAATTCCCTCTTTAAATAGCGATAATACTGGCTTTCTTGCTGATACTAACCTTAACAATTGCACTATTAACGTTGTTGTTGGACCAAAACCGAACACTGACATAGTTTGAAATGTTGCAGGCTATGGTCTTGTCAAAGGCCAAGGTCGAATAGCGTCACTTTCTGTTGTGACGTCACTTGAATTGTTCGATGACGTAATTGCATAAGGTCAGTCAACCCGTCAGAAGTTGGTTTTGAGTAAACTTACAGTCAAATTCCTTCATTGTTTCCTTTTTCTTTTCAACACAGATTCCATGTATTTTAGCAATAATTACGGTAATGCTATATTTTGAGGGCATTATCATTTGCAGAAGCCCTCGGTCTTTTTCGGTTAATGGAAGACCGCGGGCTTCTGCAAATGATAATGCCCTCTGAAAAATAGCATTACCCTTATAACAATTCCTGGCCAATCACCACATCCAGACAACGGTTTGGCCACCTCTTAGTCCTGATTTGAATCCAGTGGAACATCTCTGGGACAAGTTGGACCCACGCCTTCGTCAAAGACCAGTTCCTCCACAAAATCGGCGGCAGTTGGAGAATGCAGTGTTGAATGAGTACAAAAACATCCCCCATGCTTTCATTCGACGTTTGTTCATGTCCATGGGAAGAAGGTGTACTCATGTGATAAACAATAATGGTGGTCACACCAGGCATTGATCACATCGAATGTCAGCTTAAGCGTTTAAACGTGTCTATGCAGACTCTTGAGGTTGGACACAATAAAAATTTCATCAGATCTTAAATCCACTGTCCTTGTTGTTGTCTTTTATCTTTCTTTAGTGCGTTCTGTGTGAAGCATATAGTGGCAGGAAGCATGTATGTGGGATAACAGTTTTATTTCAAATTGACATGTCGCATTTCTTTTGGAACTAAGTATAGTATGTGAACATCTTTACAAGGCAATCTTTGAACCTGTCACCTAGTTCTCTACCTGATAACAAAACTAAATATCATGCTACATTTTGTCATTTTAGTTGCGGAATGGGTTTGATGTACAGAACATTTTTACTCACAGATCAAACTCTAGTATGGTGATCTACGTTTAGTTTTTGGCGATCTATAGCCTTCTGTTTTATATTGTATTGCCTTCTATAGTTAAATTTTTGTCTGTGACAGTATCGTTGTTTTACTGTCCTTCGTTGACAGGTGTTTATAATTTACTTTGAAATATTATAAATCTTTAACTTGATTTAGTCACAATATTGATGAAATATTGCCGATATGACTTTAAAATCTTAACTCACCACTCACCCACTCACTCATAAAGAATGTATTCGTGTTCACGTTTCCATAGGAACACGTATACACTGGTGTTTACAAAGCAAATTATGCAATAAATATTGAAAGGAAGAAGTACTAACCACTGAGAAAGCCGTACGTCGCGCCAGAGGCACCTTGGATCATCGATGGCGTTCCATACTTTGTTGTGAAGATGAAGAATGTTGTACACAACGACGTGGTACTGTTGTACTGAAACGTGACACATCCTTCTTCGTGTGCCGCACTCTATGCTGCACTTGATACGAGAAACAACGCGCTTTTGATAAAGTTCGGAAACATTGAAAGGAAACGGTTTATCGTTTCTTTTAAATGTAAGTTGAAGAACATCAGCCGATGCTGCATCAAAGAACATAAAGAACATGAAAGCATCCAGTCCATTAACCCACATCCTAACTATGCAGAAATCAACTTCTTTCTAACGACGACGTTTGGTGGCAACCACACCAATTGGTTTACAGTATAATGTGTCAGCTAAAAAATATATTGTTGTTGATTCCAAGGTTTACAAACAGTGTGTTTTCGTGTACGTTCCCATAAACCTAAAAGAACTAATTAACTCCGTTTTCCGATTTGCTGCACTTGTAGAATATGTTTTTGTGGTGAATGATGGCGTTCCTTTGGAATCGTTACCCATAGTGGTTTCTGGCTGTGAAGTAGCTATTATTTATTTATATAACAAATAATTTCAAAGGGTTTTGATGGATGGTTGCACATCTATCTGAAACAACTTTGTGTTCCAGGAACGTGTGATGTTTTAATTAGCAGGCCCAATACTTGCACTAATGTCAATTTGTTTCTCACAATGAATCATACATGGAATTGAATGAGTGAGAGAGTGACTACTACAGTATCTCAGTCATATTGTGACTAAATCAAGTTATACACTGATAAGAAATACAGTATAATATAATCTATCGGCAAAATAAACCAACCAGACTACCACAGAGAGAGTTGGAACTAGTAGGGTGTTTTAGGTGTCTTGTAACGGGTCACCATGCCTTCTGTATCAGTATCCAGCTGACTAGGTGCTGAATCAACAGCAGAGATGCTACCAATTTGACAGATATGTTTTCAACAATAAGGGCTCGTCAGTTGTGATAGTAACCCTGATGATATTACCAACTGATGACACCTCCTGTACACGTGGCCAGGCCATTTCCACTTTTAAGCTCATGTTGCTAGGGGAATCAAATCGTGGCTCAAGTGCCCATGATGCATCTTGTTGGAGCATGTCGGGGGTAACAAGTTCAACATAATCCCCGGGTAGCACTGTTTTTAAAGTCGAGGACCACGTAGAACTAAAGCCAGGGCCCGTCTCGCTGTAGCATTACTGCAAGTTTGTTCTCCGTAATAGACGATAGTGCTGCCACCAATTACAATCGGCTTCTTAGCAGGGCGAGTTGCGATGTCGTTACTAAAGAGGAGGGGGTTCCCGGCTAATATGTCGACGTCAAGTTGTTTCACGACCAAAGCGTCAAGCTGACATGCGTTGTTGTCCCTGGTCAACTGACGATGGACTTCCCGAACTACTAGGGGTGTTATGCCATCTTCCTGACGAGCCATCTGTGAAGCCGGGCATATTGGTAGTTTCATAGCCTGAGCAAAGCAAGCCCTGACTATGTTTGTTGTAGCACCTGTATCTAAACTCAATCTCACAGGGTGTTCGTGATGGAATGTATTGAGGAACGGCGACTGGATGACGTCAACGCGGCCAATAACGGGTTGATCAAGCAGGGACACTGGGGTCCTGGTCGTCGCTATCAAAGGTCCCCTCACCATAGAGTGTGTCACCCTGGACTGGGTCATCAACAACCACAAGACGAGAGCGGCCATACATCTGCCGTCTGTCAATCTCAGGTACATATCTACAGTCCTTTAAGTAATGAGTATTGTATGCTGGTCTCCTGCTGACTTGCACAAGACACACACTTTTTGTTGACGAGGCTTGAAATTGTTACTTCTAGGTTTGTCACTAGAAGAAGCTGCGGCTCTCTTTCGTGTCCTCAATGCTGTGAAGCTCATCCATCAATGAAGAGATAGTCTGGGAGGTTTCTGGTTTCAGAGATGCAAGCGTCTGAATTCTCAATTCAGCTCCATATTTTTGCTCCACTAACTATAGGGGAGTTGAGGATGGATAAGCTGTAGCCATGACACAATGACCATGTTTTCTAGTGTTGGGATGAGGTCTTCATCTTGGTCAACTTCATCACCATGGTGAGTGATACCAGAGCGGTTAGTAAGTACATAATCCTCTACAGATGCCATCAGACGCTGATAGAGATCTTCATAGCGCTCATTAGGCTACATCTTGATGTCAACAAGGTTGAGAAAATTAGCCCTGCTGACAGGAATCAGTGGTAGAGTCTAATCTTTGCCAGATATCTTGAACAGATGTTGAATTCTTGTTTGATGGAGTTCCTAATGACAGTACAGTGATTAGCTATCTGCCCTAGCATAAGTTCGAGGTGTATCTTTTTCTGTTCAGCCGTTTTGCGCCGATTTTGCTGTACATCTTCACCATCATTCTGCAATCCTCTCAATGGGTTAGCTGCAGTTTTCTTCAGCCATGCGCTGCCGTCAGCGAGGAAGGGAGCAAAATTTGCATCTAATGATAATATGTACACTAAATTCTGCCTCTAGTTTTCAAAGGAGTTAATTGTCTCATTCTTTGTGAGTTCCCACTGCTTCGGGGCTCGGACGTTAGCTATAGTGGTAAGATTTTATGAGAGCTTCTATTAGTAAGGTTACGATACACGTGGCTGGATTGACCGATGCGTTGTTCATGGTTAAATTCGAGGTTTACACACCTGTACCTGATATGAGAGGGTAAGCGAACTTGTATATGATTTCTGTGTGTTGGTAACTGTACTAGCGTAGTTTTAAACCGCTGCCACCACGCCAATGAGGACAATATCCCTTTCTCTTCCATGTACGTTTAATACTCCATGAAGTCCCATCGCAAACCATAAACTGGAACAATAAATCAAATCTTTCAAATGGAAACGACCTTCGTTGTTTTGTAGACTATTTTAAAAGGATCTCATGCGTTGTGGAAGCCTCCCCTTCATATTGAAACATACGTCAGAACTATAGCTTTTGTCAAGAAACCACTAAAGGAAATGTAAACAAACATATATCCAGAGTGCGTTGTCCGAGGTTTTAAGCCAAAATTCATTTAACTCCCGCCACACACCCTATATTCCTTTTTATTTTTTACCTGTGTGTAATAAATATGTTTTATATCCTAGTGTGTCATAAGCCAGGATATGGCCGGATGCTAAACATTATTTTAATTGCTTATACTTCTGTAACATAATTTTATGTTTAACATGTGGCGCTATAATAAACTAATTCTGTCTGTTTGTCTATATCTTTACCCCTGCGTACTCAAAACTGATAACAACAACACTTGGCAAACTCAGTCATTATCAGTCAGGGTTAACTGGTGTCTACATATTTGATGCACTAAGTCACCTGAATTATTCAGGTTTAAGAGAATTGGTGTTACATGGGAGTGAGTTTGATTATTACTTGCCGCGTGAAATAGATGATATCTACGCAAACTACAGCATACATAATCTAGTTTGCTTTTACGTTATGCAAAATGATATGTATTAACTAGATACGATACAGAGTTTTACATTAAGAATTCAGGGTTTGTTCCGCAAAGCTGCTGTAGCACTTAGGTGAACGTAATTCACATACACTTTAACATACACTTAATATGACTGTGTTTGCTCTTCGATCGCTTTGTGGAACGGGAGTGAGTGAGTTAAGATTTATAGTCACATCGGCAATATTTCAGCCATAACAAGTTACAAATTCATAATAAATGTAATTAAATTATATATAAAAAAACTGTCGACGAAGGATTGTGGAACGGGATCTCCACCACGATGTCTAAAGACACACCACAATACCCTGTAACGTAAGTTGCAAAATTATATTGCAGAACAATGGCATCAGATAAGCAACACTCATCCTGGTTCCTCTGGTCTCGAAGCTCTTCTCCTCCTGAGAGGGTACGTAAGTCCCGAAACATTCAAAGGAAATTTAAATTTACCAGCTGTTTGAAATGTAGTATTCTTGTCATTTTAATTTTGGCTAAATTTGACTTCAATCGCCAGTGGCTGATGGGATGACATAAAACCAGCTAGGGTCCATGCAGGTAGCAAAAGTACTGTAAGTCCCCATGGTCCCTAATTTGGTGATCTACCTTCAGTTGTTGGCGATCTATAGCCAGATTTTATATTGTATTGTCCAAATAGTGCTATTAGTTTTAACTTTCCACACTAGTTTTAGTTGTAATTGTGATATTCTAGTTGTTTTACTGTCCTTCAGTCCTTTGATACAACGGTATGTGATGCACAAGATCTTGTATTCGATCCTTGCTTTGATCGGCAGCCAGTGGCGCTTGACAAGGACTGGTGTGATGTGTAACCGCTTCCTGCTTCTGGTGATGGTCCGTGCAGTTGCATTCTGAACGCGCTGTAATTTGGTGACAAGATCTTGCGCACATTACCCAGTAGACTGTCGCAGTAATCCAACCGTGAGAGGATCATGGATCTGGCGAAACGGTGTGATACATCACATTTCAACAGGATATGTAAATACTTGAACTTGGTTCTACTGATTAGATTGCACTGAATTGACTTGCATTCTGAGCTCTTACCATGGTTGCCCAATATATCGCAGTCTTATTAGATGATTACTAAATGATTTGCAGTCTGAGGTCACATGGCAATGACATGACTAAATTACACATTTACAATAAATACATTTATTTCCTATAAATAAAATGCAAACAATGAACAGAAATACAAGGCGCCTCAAACATGAGTCATGAAAAAAATAGGACTATACAATGTACACAATAACATAATGAGGCAATGAGTATGTAACCAGCTGCAATGTACAAGGGACAGTGGTACTATCGCTGGATGACGGTATCCCTTGAATATGCTACCAGAGCGCATTCATGTACAACAACTTGTTGATTGCTCGTAATCCATTGCAAATTGACACAGAAGGTAGTATATCTAAAACACGGTGTTATCTGTATAGTATCCTTTGCAAATACTCACAGGAAGTACACTATCTGTTACACAATGTTCAACACATACATGTATGAGGAAAGTCATTGTGGATTTTCAAATCAATATTTTGCTCACATTTCACGGAAGGTAAATCAGGAGTATATTTACATAGAACTGAACACAACATCGAATGACATCACACATTAAAACGACCAGTGCAGATTATTGGAAAGAAATAGCAAATATGATTATATGCATTGCTGATTCATTTCATACGACAAACTTTAAAGATGAAATTCAGATGTAGACTTCCTTCCATGAAAGAAATACAAAGTGAATGCTGAAATATTGTATACATTCAGGACTGTAAGATCGAGTGAAACAGTTATGTTCTTTGCTTGAACTGTCAACACATAATGACGGCATCACGTAAATTCAGATTGGGACTGCTAGTTTCAAATGTATTACGCATATTTCATATTGGTCAGACGTCAAAGCATACATGGACGATTGAGAGAGGATAGTAAAATGTCTTCGTTTAAACATAATCACAACCACAGTTGCCCCAGTATGTAAATATGAAAGAACTTGTTGGATTCACCAATAACTTATAAAGTTTTAACAACATTGACACTTTTCACTGTTTCCCTCTCATTTGTAGTAGACGGGTCGTTAGTATGTGTTTCTGGAATGATTCAATCATTTCAGAGTTTCAGTCGCAGGATGCAGTCACATTTCCCAAACACCTCTTATCAGCACCTGGAATGTTTCAGTGATTCATATGATCAATATATAATCGAAAACGGAAAGTGGATTCTGCAGAAAGGGAGGGACTCCATTATGAAGTAGTCCCGGCGTATATGCAAGTAATAACATTCAACATTATTTGTTCAACATCTTTCTCTCGCGCAGAACCCACACACCTGTTCAAAACCTATTATTGAACTGGAACAATTAAACGGACAGATTAGTTTGAGTTTCTACTGTTCTGTTCCTGTGACGGTTTGAGGAGTGAAGATAAAGATTGAAACGACACGTGTCTACATATTATCAGACGTCATGCACATATTTACCGGGATGAAGCAGTGTTGACACACAGTCATGTGGTTTTGTTCAATGGTGACCAACGCTACGAATGATATTTTGTCTAGTTTATCCTGCAACATTGACGTTAAGTATAACTTATACCCCACTTCCGGTCTCGTTGCCATTGTTTCCTTTGTTAAAAGTGTAGGTGTATTGACAGGTACACCTGTCAAAAGTGTAGGTGTATCAATGATACACCTACACATTTTCACAAATTGTCGTAATTCATTTTCATTGACGAGCTCACCAAAACGGCGGTTGTCTTGATCAGTCGTTAACTTAAAATCTTACTTATCATCCAGGTCGAAATGTGACGCTAACGAACTGTCAATTTGAGAAAGAAAATCCTCTGTCCACTCTTCAGCATCCATGGCCGACGAACGTGTGATCTTCCAAATGTTTTCTATGCCACATGCGAGTCAGAGAACGCATGCGCATTGGTCTGCCCATACAAATGTCAATTATCAGTAATATTGCGCATATTTGGGTCTCCTTGAAATCATTCTCGCGCCCGAACTGGTTTTTAAAATCGTGTGAAATCGTGCATTCCCGTGCATGCACGTGCAAACGTACCGATAAATATCACTTTCAAAAAGTAAATCAAATAAAGTGAAACTAAGATTGCAAATCCCCATAAATTTACCTTGCCTATTGAACATTTAAAGCTCATAATTATATTCAGCTTAGGATAAAAGTTGTTTAACAAACGATCATAGTTTCAAAGCGCTGTTATTGGTTTGTATTACAAGGGGGTATGCGCATTAAATGAAACACCGAGAACATGTAGGTTTGGTCGAAGTTAACGCTCATTACGTACCGCACGGGCATTTGTTTCCTGTTCCAACTACTGCGCTTACCCCTTTAAAATTGTAACTGATTTGAAACTATGATCATTTGTTGAACAAATTTTATTCTAAGTTGAATATAATTCTGAGATGTTCATTTGGCAAGGTCAAATTATGAGATTCGCAATATTAATTTCACTTTATTTCATTACCTTTTGTTTAAAGTGAAATTGATCGGTACGTTTTCACTGCAAACAGACTATAGACGCGGGGCATTTGAGGGTCTTAACCAGTGGGCTAAAAATAAATGAAACAGATGGAAAACAAATACATTTTTGTCATTCTTAGAATATAAAATGTTACAGTAAACTCGTAACTCGACCAGAAGTGAGGTATAAGTCAGATGTACACACACTTCCTCGGTGTGTCGCTCAATACACCTACTGTTTGAGTCGTGTGGTCACCTCGGTAAGTGTGGGTATATATAATACATACTCGTTCAAGTACACTTGTTTGAGTGGCAAAGTACAATACTGACAAACTTAACAACTTCTGTTATTTCGTGAGTGCGATTCATGTATCATTGTCATTCCTCGACAACGGTACAGAAACTGTACCTGTATTTTTTTTTATCCATTAGCTTTGTCAATATTTCCGATCAGTTTAATACGAATAGGGAGTATGTGATGTGGCTGAATATCTTCCGGTGAAATTAAACAGCTACTCACTGTAAGCTTCCACAGAACACCCTGATCCACCCGAGGAAGTACTGCAAGTCCAGCTGCCAATATCTTCAACACCCATTTTCAGAATTTTTATCTCACTGTGGCTAGAATTACGCTCAACTGTGTATCCATCCTTGTTTTCACAACCACGAGATATGCAATTGCTTGCCAAAACATTGTCAGGCCTCGTCCACGACACTGAGGAAATGGTAGTCTGTGTCTCATAGCAAAGTAAACATGCCGAAGAGCCAAGTTCAACAGTATTCGGGCAATGTAATTGCAATGATCTCACACCTGTTTTAAAGAACAAAGAGTCGTAAAAATTGGTGTATATAACCCTGACAATGTTATACTTTTATAGCAAACATGTATGGTAACTGCATACTGGCAATTTGGCTCGTGGCATTCTCGATTCTCCTTTAGATTTCCTTAACAACTTATTTAAACACATCTAATACATTTGTTCAAATCATCCGGTCATGAAACTCACATAAAAAAAAAGTTTACTTAGATCATATTTGTGCTTTTGGACGTTGGTGTGCCTTCAGTATCACTATTTTCTTACTAAAACAAGGAACATAAACAAACCTTGAAGAAGACACACTAAAACGACTGCAAATTCCACCCCTTTCTTTTGTTGGTGATTCATCTCCGTTTCTTGCTGAGGATCATAAAACAAGTTTCGCGAATCAAATATTCATAGTAAATGTTATGGAGAAGGTTCTTGAGATTTTATCTATAAAACTCCACATGAGCTCGTATTGACATGTTATTGCCGGTTGTTTGGAAGTACCATAAGAGGTAAGTAGTTGAAAGTTACATGCATAGGAGTCAGTGACTGAACAAATAAAGTCACATCGGTAATAGTTCAATATATGCTGGCTGTGAAACCTACATATTATTTAGAAAAACGTCTTTAACGATATGAAAAACCGTCTTTAACGACATGAAAACCTGTCTTTAACGATATGAAAACCCGTCTTTAACGACATGAAAACCTGTCTTTAACGATATGAAAACCTGTCTTTAACGATATGAAAACCTGTCAGCAACGCTTTAACCACATCATCACAGCTTTAGCTATTTTAAAACTAGCAAGTTACGATTACATGATACTTTCTAAATGGCACAATATAAAGACTATTTATCGCCAACAACTGAAGGTAGATAACCATACAATGGGCCACAGCTGGACTTACACCATCCCTTCAGCTGTTAGCGAAATCGATAGTAGGCCCGATGAAGTAGGACATGCTTGACTGTGACTCTACTATCACAAGGGAACCAACAGGGAAGATCCTCACCTTTAAGCTGCGTGAATAGGGGAATATATATACGTTTTTCTCATTTAAATTTGTACTTTGGAAACATGCGGAATTAAAAAAAAACAAAACAACAACTAACCCATGTGTAAACGGTTTTCCTGTTTGGTAGATTGGTTAGTTGGTAACGCCACACTCAGCAATATTCCAGCGATATGGCTCCGGTCTGTAAATAATCGAGTCTGGACCAGACAATCCAGTGATGACGAGCATGAGGATCGATCAATATTGGGATACGATGACACGTGTCAACCAAGTCAGCGAGCCTCACCACCCAGTCCCGTTAGTCGGCTATCACGACAAGCATGGGTTGCTTAAGACCAAATATACGCCCGGATCTTCTCGGGTCTCATACTTGGTAACGTGTATGATTGACTTATTGCGTGTGACGTTCTCTATTCCCTCAGATGTCAAGGATTCGATTCCTCACATGGGTAGAATGTGTGAAGACCATTTCTGGTGTCCCCCGCTGCAGAACTGATGGTGTGTGGTCTTATGCATAGAACCCAGTTTTCAAATCACTTGAAGTTAAGTAACGTTGCTCACAGAGAGACCTTGGATCGATGACATTATTTGGCAGGTTGACTCCTGAGAGTTTCTACTTCTGAGAGAGACATTAGTCCTGCCCCACAACGGAGCAAACGTGACACATGTGATCTCACCTCAGGCAAGTGAGTGAGTTTGTTCAATATTGCCTCTGTTCACTAAGCAGTGAATGAGTACCCGGTGGTCTATGTCTTCAGGAGGTTTGGCTTAACCGGAGAAGTAATGTCTGCGTTGAGGGCATAATTTGCCCATAGCGCCACTTAGTATATTTGAGATGGATATTGTGGGTCCACCTTCGATGTGTGAACATTTGTATCTGCCATAAACCTCACAAACAAATAACGCATAGTGATCAATGCTCTTCCTGTTGGTCTGGTGCAATAGTGAGTGAGTGAGTTTAGTTTTACGCCTCACTTAAAAAAGTTATCAAGGGTTTTTCATCCATTCGCTTTATCAAAATGTATCTCTTGGGCTTTCTGTACTATTCAAGGCTTATTCCTGAACTTGTAGTGAGTGATTGGGTGAGTGCGTTTTGTTTTACGCCGGACTGAGCAATATTCCAGCTATATTGCGGTCTGTAAACAATCGAGTCTGGACCAGACAATCCAGTGATCAACAACATGAGCATCGATCTGCGCAATTGGGAACCGATGACATGTGGCAACAAAGTCAGCGAGCCTGACCACCTGATCCCGTTAGTCGCCTCTTACGACAAGCATAGGTTACTGAAGATCAATATTCTTACCCTGACCTTCCCGGGTCTCTGGTGCAATACAATTATTGACAAATGTATGATTAAGTGAAAGGCGGTAAGGTTGAACACAATCTTAATTACCTACCTCAGTGACTGTCCAAACATGTGTAGTGCCAAACTCCCCAGTAGACTGATTTAGATATAACCATTCAGCACTGGGTATATACCTCTCTTTTTATCCTGTTAAATAACAATCAATATTACAAGGCTTGCCGACGTATTCAATGTTTTCCTGTCAATCTTTTTCCTACATACATGTAGTGTGGCGGTGGGGTAGTCTAGTGGAACAAGCGTTCGCTCGTCACACCGAAGACCCGGGTTCGATTCCCCAAATGGATACAATGTGTGAAGACCATTTCTGGTGTCCCCCGCCGTGATATTGCTGGAATATTGCTAAAAGCAGCCTAAAACTAAACTCTCCCACTTCTACGTACTGTTTGTATTAGGGGATGTATTTCTCGCCGGCATACCGTTTGTTGTCAAAGGAGACACCTCTGTGTTGATTGAGAATATTGGAGCCATTGTTCCGTTCGCACAATACAACTGATTCTTCAATCGGCCCGACCTTGTGAATCAGCTTGTCACTGGTAGCAGTTCCTAGCAATTGCATACCAAACCTCCTTTATGATGACGTATATTGTATATTTTTGGGTATTTTACTATTTTGGTTACTGCGTGTAAGGACCACGATGCGCTATCGTGCAGAAGCCGAAATATATAACAACATTAGAAACGCAGAAATTAGATATTTCGTATTATATGGATGGTGCGTTTCAAATGTTGTTCGCCCGTGTTTTATACTGTATTAATTTTACTGTCTTTCGTTAACAGGTTTTTACAGTTTACCATTACTTACTATGTATACAATTAATTGTTCTCGTCACGATATGGCTGAAATATTGCCGATGTGACGATAAATGTTAAACTCACTCACTCACTCCGATGTTTTATATCCATATAATGATTCTCTCGCATTATTACTGTCTATCGTCGACAGGTTTTAATCTTCAAAATATTTTCACTTTTATTTGATAAATTGTTTTCTTCACGATATGGCTGAAATATTGCCGATGTGACGATAAATGTTAACTCACTCACTCACTGTGAGTGACCACATTTTGCATGATTGCTGAAACAAGATTGTCGGAGTTGCTTGGAAGTTTGAAATGTTTGGTCGTACAAAATGGTAATACTAAAACCTGTAGATAGTGAACCTATAAATCATATGAATCATAATTGTAAGTCATTCCTTTGCTCTTTTCAATCGCCATGTAGAGTATCGCGGGGGAGTGGGATAGCCTAGTGTTTAAAGCGTTCGTTCGTCACGCAGATGACCCTGTCTTAATTCCTCACATGAGCCCATGTCTGGTGTCCCCCGCCGTTATACTGCGGGAATGTTGCTAAATGCGGCGTAAAACCATATTTACTCATTCACTCACTTACTCAATATAGATTATTGTAGGAAAACATATTTTGTTAAATTACAGGACAATCATTTTGGGAATATATTACGTCTTTTATTATTTGTATTAATTCAAAATGTTCCAATAAACTCAAGTGAACTCCAAAGAAATGGTTTTGTGGCAATTGGGCGGCGAAAGATCTTAGTTATATGAAATCAAACAGTTTTTGTACCCCACGTGTGTAATACATAATTCGTTACTAAACACTTAACCTCTTGCAGTAATCAGGCCGTTATCTGAAGGTGAGTTGACTTGATGTATAACTGTTATATTTATGTGGCAGGTTGAAATATATGTGTGTGAATTTAAAACGTCAAGAAAAATACCCAAATTTGCCTATGCTCAGAAATAGATTCTGTTTGGTGTTCGATGCAAAATAGTTTTGAACGTCATATAATGAAACACTTCAAATCCATTCATCCATCCATCCATCCATGCATGCATGCATGCATGCATGCATGCATGCATGCATACATACATACATACATACATACATACATACATACATACATACATACATACATACATACATACATACATACATACATACATACATACATACATACATACATACATACATACATATACATTTGTATAGCGCCGATATCCAGTTCAGTTGAACTGTTTAAAAAAGCTTTGTTTTTCCCTCGTTCACTGGATGATAGTCACAGTACTTTGTCCAAGTTTACTGCATGTTGCTGTACCCGCAACTAGGTGTTTGCATGTATTCATGTGACCCCCATCTGGTCATATACCGACGGATTCGTGGGTTCTTTTAAGTGTCCAGGGTTGTGTTCTGTACACTCAGGGTTGTGACAACACTGAAAGAGTCAGCACACAAACTTGACTCCAAGGTTTTTACACCAGGTCACAGGTGGGCTCGATCCCGTCACCTCAAACTCGCTGGATCACTAGCCTGGCGTTTTAGCCAGTTGGCACCCGTGAAGAGCCGTCTACTCGTGGTGGGTGCTGGATAACGCTATGAGCTCTTCAACCCCCCGTTGTGGACCCGGGGGTATATTTGGTCAACCAATCCGTTTGCCGTGGGATGCGCCCCTTTGTCGGTGGAGGACGGGAGTCCATGCAGGTAGCAAAGGTACTGTCCCCAAAGGTAAAGTCCCCATGGTCCCTGGTATGGTGATCTGCATTCAGTTGTTGGCGATATATAGCCTATTTTTATCCCACCGGCATGTAATGCGGTGGGATATAGTCGTCGCCTCGTCCGTCCGTCCGTAATCATTTTGTTTCCGGAGCATAACTCAAAGACCGTTCGATATTTTTTAACCAAAATTGGTAGATATGTCAAACATAACCTAAGGTGGTGCCTTTTGCTATTTACAGATTATTGTCATTTTTATTTTTCTCGGTTTCCATGGAAACGTTTTGGACTTAGTCTTAAAGAAGGGTGGGCTTCGTTTCCGGAGCATAACTCAAGAACCGTTCAGTATTTTTCAACAAAACTTGGTAGATATATCAAACAGATCCTAAAGTGGTGCCTTTTGCTATTTACAGATTTTTAGCATTTT